GACAAAAATCAACCCCCAGGAAGTAGGAAATGTCTGGGCAGCCCAGACTGGGCAGGGTTGCCGCTGCCTGTCCTTTCCAGACTCTCTCACGGGCCCCTGTGGTCCATATTGAGAAGAGTCGCCATCTTCCCCAGACGCTGTATGAAAGGGGCAGCGTGGTTGTGGCCTCCTGCAGGGCCAGGAGCGGATGAGCTCAGGGTATCACTGCTCCCTCCCCAGAGAGCACTCCAGCAGGGTGAGCCTGCAGGGCCGGGGAAACTTGCAGGTAGGGAGAGGGTTCCTGGGTCAGGCTCTGGGACAGCGCCTGTCCCCCAACTCCACCCAGTCACTGGTGGTCTCAGGAATCTTTGACTGTATTTGAGCCCCTGCCCTGGTGTGAATGCAAAGGCAAAATAGTTTGTGAACTGGAGGCAGTGGGAGAACCCTGACCCGCCCCCTCCTCCCCCAACCTTTCCTGCTTGGTCCCCAAGCTGACTCTGCTTTGGTGGCTACACAGAAGTTAGCATTTGATGAACCAACACCTGGGAAGCGGACTGTGAGCACAGTCAACACAGCAACAAAACTAATGTTTATTGAATGAGGGTCTACATTTATTATAGCTTAATATCTTATTGATATCTTATTGAATCCAGCCCAAATCTCCATGCAGTCGGTGTTGCTATTACCCCCGTGTTGTGGATGAGGAAGCCAAGTCTCACTCAGTCAGTATGATGGTCAAACCTGCATTCAAACTCTGTTCTGTTTGGAACAAGACCTCTTTTTTTTTTTTTTTTGGTACATGCCCTTAACGGGAACCGAACCCGGGACTTTCTGGTCCGCAGGCCGATGCTCCAACCCCTGAGCCAAACTGGCTAGGGCAGAAGAACTCTTTTTAAAAAAATAATTAATAGCTCTGGCCGGTTTGGCTCAGCGGTTAGAGCGTCGGCCTGCGGTCCAGAGAGACCTGGGTTCGGTTTACGCTAAGGGCGCGTGCCTCGGTTGCAGTTTGTCCCCAGCCCTGGTTGGTCGTGCGGGTGGCAGCCACTCGATGTGTCCCTTTCACGTCGATGTTTCTCTCTCTCTCTCTTTCCCTCCCACTCTGTCTGAACAAAAAATGGAAAAATGTCCTCGGGTGAGAATTAAAAAAAATAATAATAATTAATATTTTTATGGTTTTCTCTTTTTTGTAATATTTTTTATGTATTTTTAGATAGGAAGGGAGAGAGATGGAGAAACATCAATGAGAGAGAAACATCGATGGGCTGCCTCTGCACGTCCCCTACTGGGGATCGAGCCTGAAACCCAGGCATGTGCCCTGACCAGGAATAGAACCAGGACCTCTCAGTCCATGGGAGGACCCTCAATCCACTGACCCACCCTGGCTGGGCTGGATCAAGACCTCTTGGTTTCCCCCAACTGCCTCCTTGAGCCTGTGTGACTAGTAATGTGTCCCCAGCTCAATGCTCATCTCCCCCATAAGCCAGCATGTTATAAAGGCTGTGCACTGCTCGAGGGCCCCAGGAGGGTTGGGGGTGAGTGGGTAGGGGCAGAAATACAGCCTGGGCTCTGCTCATGTGGGCTATGGGCCCAGAGGGGGTGTCTTTTTCTAATTTTCACAAAGACAATCTACAAGCTAGCCCTACCTTGGATCACACTGGTCCTCTTAGCATTCTGACAAAACCCACCAGGCTGGCCACTCCACCAGGCCCCTCGAATGACGCTCTGCCTTGTGACCCAATTGGTTCCCATGACAAAGCTTGTTTTCCCCTAACTCACCCAGCATCTTCCTGCCTCTAAGCTCTTGTTTCTTTGGTTTTCCACCTCTCCCAATTCATTTTAATAAAACCTACCTCTACGGCCTGTTTTTATTTAAAAAAATGTTTTTATTGATTTTTCAAGAGGAAGGGAGAGGAGGGAAATATGGATCAGCTGCCTTCTGCACGCCCCCTATTGGGATTCAAGCCCAAAACCCAGGCATGTGCCTGACGGAATAGAACTGCCTTTTGGTGCATAGGACAACACTCAACCAACTGAGCCACACAGGCCAGGGCTCTCCTGCCGTTAAAGCCCAGCCAGGCTCTGACTGGTTTTGCTCAGCGGTTAGAGTGTTGGCCTGTGAACCAAAGGGTCTCAGGTTTGATTCCCGGTCCAAAGCACGTACCTGGGTTGCAGATTTAATCCCTAGCTCTAGCTGGGGTTGGGAAGCAACCAATTAATGTCTCTCTCTCACACTGATTTTTTTTCCCCCTCCCTCCCTTCCACTCTATTTAAAAATCAATGGAAAATACCCTTGAGTGAAGATTAACAACAACAACAAAAAAGTAATAAAAACAAAAAATAAAACCCAGCCAGTTGGGCCCAGCTGGAGTGGCTTAATTGGTTAGAATGTCGTCCTGGACACGGAAAGGTTGCTGGGCACATACCTGGGTTTCAGGTTTCATCCTGCTTCAGAGCAAGTATGGAGGGCAACTGACCGATGTTTCTCTCTCTCTCCCCCTTCCTCTCTCTAAGCATGTCCTTGGGTGAGGATTAAAAAAACAAAAACAAAAAAACCAGCCAGTTTGTGATTCAGAAACACAGTACAATATGGCGGCACCCTGTAAGCTGTTGTACATTTGAAACCTATATAATTGTATTAACCAATGACACCCCAATAAATGAAAAAAACACAACAGAATGGATCACAAATTGTGGTATACCCACAGCATGAAATACTGTACTGCAGTGAGAAGGAAGGAACTATAACCAAAGCAACCGATACTGATGAATCTGATAGGCATAAACAAACGAAAAGCCCAGCCAGAGGTCGTCCTTCAAAAACCCACAGTTAGATGTCATCTCTCTCTCCACCACCTCCCACACTGCATCGGTCATAGCACCTCGAGCCACCCCCAGCATCTGCCCAGCATCTACCAGCATCTACCGTCTCTGTAAGACACTGAGCTACACACCCTCCCACTTTGTTTCCCTGAAGCTGCACGAGTGTCATGTGCGCATCCGAGGGAGAAACTGAGGCTCAGAGGACTTCCAGGCCTGTCCAGGTTCACACGGCTAGGATGTAGCACAGCAGGGACTCAATGCAGGGGTTCTCATTTAAAAAAAATTATTTTCTTTATTGATTTTAGAGAGGGAGAGGGAGAGAGAGAAACATCGATGGGAAAGAACATGGATTGGCCGCCTCCTGCATGCCCCCACTGGGGATCGGGCCCACAACCTGGGCATGTGCCCTGACCGGGGACAAATCGTCAACCTCTTGGTGCCTGGGTGGACGCTCAACCACTGGGCCACTCAGCCGGGTTCTTGTTTTAAAGCTGCCTGCTCTGGGGAGCATTGTTTTAAATCCATGGAGATTTTGCTTCCCCACAACTGTGGTCAATTTGGCTCAAATACACTCAAAAATGTTCTTAAAAATAAATAAAGTAAAGCTGCCTGCCCGGATGAGGGTGGTTTCCATGGACGTCGCGACCAGGTCCGAAGTGTTGGCGCCCTGAGGGCAGAAGCCGGTGGCTCCTCGCAGCCCCGGAGGTGGGCTTTTGCCAACATCCAGCAAAGGCAAGGTCGCCGGGGCAGCGCCCGCCGCCTTCCCTCGGGGGGCTGCCCCGGCCCCGAGGCTGCACAGCGGACCCTTCACCCACGCAGGCCCAGTGGCTCCGGGGGACGCGGGATCGCAGCCCCGCGGCCCCGCCGAGTCAGCCCGCGAGAAGCCCCGGGAAGGAGCCGGCACCCCAACCACACCCAGACCGGCCAACTTGTTTACGCCTCTTGCACAGCCCCGCCCGCCCGGCCGGCCAGGCCACGTGACCCGCGCCCCGCCCCTCGCTCGCGCGCGTGGCTCCGCCCGCCGCGCCGGCCCTTCTTTTCGCCTCCTTCGGAGTCACAAGATCTCGCAGCGGCCCGCTTTCGGGATCCTTCCGCCCGGCCCCGCCCCCCCGCCTTAGAAACTCTCGCCGGCTCCTTCTCGACCGGCTCCCATCCTCGGTAATGAGCAGAACGGCACCTTCTGTCCAGCGTGGCTGCCGGCTGCGGGCCTCTGCCGCTGGGCCCGAGGGAGCGGCGAGACCCCGCCGGGGACTCTTTTTCGTGGCGGAGGCGGCAGCCGGCCGGGGACCTTTCACGACGGGGGAGGTGCTGTACGTCCAAGATGGCGGCGCCCTGTGGGCTGGAGGAACTGTGAGGTAAACAGCTGAGGGGGAGGAGACGGTGGGTGAGTATGGGGGTGTCGCCCCCTCCTTTTCATGGGGGCTTCTCGGGGCTGCCCTGGCACCATGACCCCAGTCGGGGAGGCCTTGGGGGGCGGGGACAGGGGGCTCCCTTGCTGGCGACCGGACCCCGGGAAGGGGGATTCGGAAAGCTTTCCCCTCCCTCTTATTACGCGCTGTCTCCGGTGGGGCCCGGCGGGGCTGGCGGGTCCCTGGGATGGAGCGGGGGCCTGGCCGGCACTCCGCCCTCGTCGGCGGCCGGGGACACGGCCGGGTGCACGCCCGGGCCGCGGCGCCCAGGGCAGGGGGCCGGTGAGCCCCCTCGCCAGCCCCTCGCTGGGTGGGGTGACAGGCTCCCCGGGGGTGCGGAGAGCGGGCGGGGGGGAGACCCTCGGTTGGCGGGGCCGCGCCGGGCGGCGGGGCCGGTCCCAGGGCTCGGGGAGAGGGGCCGCGGTGGGGGCCGAATGAATGGAGGCTGCCTGCGGGCATCGAGGGCTCGCGGACTCCGGGTTTGGCTCCGCTGCAATTTGCGTGGCCGGAGTGCCCGGCTCGGGAGTGCTCGTGGGTGGTTAATGACGGCGAAGACAGTTACCTGAAGTCGGCAGAGGCGACGCTGGAGACAGCTATTTGCAGAGCCACTCCTAGGCGCTCATTCATTCGAGGACCTGGAGGGAGAAGGGCTTGCAGGCGGAGAGCTTCGCCGTCAAAGCTCTTGCTTTGTGTCTCCTGGTCAGGAGTTGTGCTTGGTGCGTTTTGGATTGGGGGGAGGGTGTCTCGGAAGGGGGTGCGGTCCTCCTCGGAGAGACAGCTCACGTTTAGGGAGTACTCACTGTGGAAGTGCCCCGCCGTCATCTCCTTCGTCCTCGCGACAAAGGGAAGAGGAAGCCACTATCTACACCTCCATTTCCCAGATGACAAAACTGAGGCCCAGAGACATCAGGGTAACCTGCCCGAGGTCACCTCTAGTAGAATCTGAGCCAAGAACAGACCTCGGGTCTGACTGATTCCAAGACTGTGGACGGGTCGTTATTTATACCAACGTGAGTCTCTCTTTTATCAGTTATTTGATCAAAGCTGGCCTGTCATTCTAATTAAGTGGTTGGAATTAATCAGTTGGCCAAGGTTTGTGCACAAGTGCCTGTGTGTGTTTAATTTTGAAGAGGAGTGCTGTTGCTTGTGTGACTTAGCTTTTGTTTCGGATGGCAGTGTCGGGCATGTAAACATGCTCGTCTAGACTGGAAAGTGTTTGATATTTTTATAAAACTTGATGACTTGACTGCAGAAGGAAGTCCTGCTAAAACCCTTGTTGGATTTTTTTTTTTTTTTTAAATAGAAAGCATAGAAATAGCACTTAACTTTACATAGAGTATGCTGTAAAAGTACTAAAATAGAATAATATTCATCTGAGATACTTTGATTTATGATTTTGAGATCAACGTGGAGTCATCTGAATTCAAACACGCTGGCAAAGTGGAGCTGTAAATCTCAAGAAGCATTACAAAACCGGATCTTCTGGGAGCCCTTGATTTACTGAGCAACCACCTGTGATTCTTAAGTTGAACATTCCTGAGTAAACCTGGAGTATGCAAATGTGAAAACTGATTTAGGGTTGTGCAGGGAAATGTACCTTCAACAGTCATGCATCAGGGAAATGAGGCTCCTCAGAAACACTGAAACGATTCTTGCTATTGCCCTGGGGAGCTGCAGACTCTTCTTAACCACCTGATGTAAACTTAAGGGGTATTTATAGAAGATGTAAATGGAAAATATTGTCTTACTAAAGTTAATATCTTATCCAAAACACTCTCACTTCACGTGCCTGGAAGGATGATGATGTAAGCTTTCTTTGCTTCATGCATTTCCTGGTGTCATAAAGACTTGATGTGTTTCTAAATTCCTAGTTAGATTTCTAGAGAGCTACAAGCCTTCTTACTTTTTTGTGTTAAATTGGAGTGTCTCAAATCCTTTGACTCTATTGTACTCTTCCTCACTGGGTTAAGAGCAAAGACCTCTGATACTGCTACTGTTGTGTGGTGTAATACTATCTCTTCTGTGCATACCTGGTTTCATTTGTGAGATGAAACTAGACAGTCTTACTAGGACAGATCAAATATATACCTATGTGATATTTACAGAATAATAAAATTGCTGGAAATGAGATCTCTAACAGTGTTCATCAGAACCTCCATCACAGATGTCAGACCCCACATTAGGTAGACCTGCACATTCAGTCTTTGAGGACAACCTGGATGTATATATTGGGAAAAGGCAAAGATGTTGAGGATCAGAGGCTGAGAGGACCAGTGCCTGAAAGTTTCAATCTGGTGATTTTTTAAAATTTATAATTTATTGCACAGGAATTTAAAAAAATAGTTTCTATCTTCTGGTGTGTGTAGTGGGGTGAATTTGGGGCTCTTCATTATAGCCGACCTGGTCTTATAGCTCTTTTTCCAAAGTTTGTTAGGGTTCAGATATGTTCTTTTCTGGGATCCAGGGCCATAGTGGACTCAAATGAGAGTCTCCTGGAATTACTTGGACATTCTTGGGTGCAGATGAGCCAAATACAGTAACATAGCAACCATTTCCAGCTTTATAAAAGTCAAATCACTTTAGACTTGGAACAAGTCACTTCACCACCATTTCTTCATCTGTGAAGTAAGAGAGTTGAATTGTAAATTATAGTATTCCTAAATCTAAATTTCTGTGATTCAGGGTCCTCCTGGGACTTCAGTTAAACGTTCTGACTAAATTGATTGAATCAAAGTGTTCATGGCTTCATAGCATCTAAGCACTTTGGTGACTTTTAGCCAAACCTGTTGACTGGTGACCTGTTTATCTTTTTCCTTTATTTCACATTATTTTAAAAAGGTAATTTTCTTTAAATTTCTCATATTATAAATCTTTCTTTGAGAAATTAGTTTTATTTGTATTAGTTTTGCTTGTCATTTAAGTAGCTACAATCGTGAAAGAAAAGCATACTCAGCATTCAAACCTGTAGTTTTTTGCTTTATTTTATTTTATTTTTATCCTCACCTGAGGACTTTTTTTTTTTTTTGCATTTATCTTCAGATAGAGCAGGAGGGAGAGAAGGAGGAAGAGAGAGCGAGAGAGAAACATCGATGTGAGAGAGACACATCTACTGGCTGCCTGCCACTCGCACAACCCCCACTGGGGCTGGGGACAAACTTCAACTGAAGTACATGCCCTTAGCGGGAACTGAACCCAGGACTCTCTGGTCCGAGAGCCGACGCACTACCGCTGAGGCAAACTGGTCAGGGCGCTTTTTGCTTTAAACGTACATATTATAAGTATATGCTCAAACACTGAGTTTTTTCCTTCAGTGTTTAATATAATTTAGTTTGCATGAAATACTCATCCCCTCCCCCCATTTAAGTTGATTTGAAAGAGGTCTACCATCAGCAATTTTATGACTTACTTTTTAAGCCTGTAGTTATTAGAAATTAGTAATTTAGTATCTAATGTGTCTTAGTGGAGAACTAAACAATTGTATATATATATACACACACACACACACACACACACATATATATATACATACACACACACACACACACACACATATATATATTTTTTTCATTTGTTCATTCTCAGGACCTTGTTTATTTTTTCTTGTCCCTTCTGATGTGCAGTGCTAGCTTTCGTTCTGTATAGGGAAGTAGCAAAGGGCAACAATATTTGTAAAGGTTGAATGAATTCAGATTGTCATCTACTGAGTCAAGTGCCTTAAAAAACAAGGTTTGATACAAAACAAGGCATGGTAGTTACTGGCCTAGAACTCACAGGTCACTGTGTAAAGGTAATGGCAATAAGGACCATGAAGTATTTGAGTAACGAGGGACAAGTGTGTCCTTCTGTTGGTGATGGAAGACACAGTGGCGAGTGATAAGGAAGAACAAATGTAGTGACCTTAATGTCTGCAGTCATTAGCCTGCGCTGCTTTCGGTGGTTCACAGCACAGTAACAGACTCAAAATGTATCCATTTTAAGTTACACAGTGGTTTTAGCAATGTTTCAAATACAAGTTGTTGAATGGATGGACTGCTGAACCTCATGTATCCAGCAATAGGTTTTGTTCAGTAATAATATTGTTATAATAAAGTTTATATTTACTGAGTACTTATGAGCCAAACACTGTGCTGAGTATTTTATAGGTAAGATCCTATGAATTCTTAAGAGACAGGACAGGGAGATGAAGAAATTGAGGCCTAAAGTCACTTTTTTGGTTGCTGAGCTGGGATCTGAACCCTGTTGGTTGGATCCAGAGCCCCTAAATTTAATATTTCACTGTGTTAAACTGTCAGAACTGCTAACCTCATAAACTAACTTATAGATCAGTGGTTCTTAATCTTTTTTTGGGGTGGAGTGGAGGTCCGTTCTCCTCTGAAAATCCAGGGAAACTATGGACCACATATCCCTTCCTGTCCTATCACCACCAAAAGCAAGTTCATAGAGATGTAAAATATTGAGTATGGCTTCAGGAACTTCATAGACCCAGCTTGGAGCTCAGCCGATCATTCTAGATAGATTCTTGCTCTTAAAAATGGACTTGGGCTTTATTAAAAACAACCTATTTTTTTAAACCAATAGAGTAGGTAGGAGAGGCCCAACTCTTTTACTTATTTATTTTAAAAATACTTTTATTGATTTTAGAGAGAGAGGAAGGGAGAGGGAGAGAGAGAAACATCAATGTAAGAGATAACCACTGATAGGTTTCCTCCTGCACACACCCTGACTGGGGATCGAACCTGCAACCTGAGCATGTGCCCTGACTAGGAATCGAATCAGCAACCTTTTGGTGCATAAGAGGATGCTCAACCAGCTGAGCCACCCCAGCCAGGGTAAGGCCCAACTCTTTTATAGATGGGCCTGTGTACTATTTGTATTATAAATCATTTGTCAGACTTTTATACTGAAATATTCTTTATGCTTCATTGGAAATTCAGCTTTAGGTGCCTCATTTAAAAAAATCAGAAGTGGAAAAGTCAGCTATGTAACTTGCTAAATGCTTGTCAGGCATAGCTTTCAGTCTCTGCTGGTGCTTTTAGCACCTGGTAGAGTTCCTCTGGGTTTTCCCCCAAGGTTTATGCACTATTTTTTCCTTTTGAACCTTAAAGTGTGTGTGTGTAAAATGTTTCTCACCTTCATCCTTCTTTCTTCTTCCTGGACGAGTGGTTCTCAATCTTTATTGGGCATTAGAATCACCCCACCCCTAGAGTTTCTGGTTCAGGTCTGGGACAAGGCCCAAGAATTTGCAATTCTAACAAATTCCAGGTGATGCTGATGTTGCTGATGTGAGGACTACATATGAGAACCATTGTCCTGGACCCTATGCCTTTATTCCTGGATATTTCTGATTTAGTCCTATGAGCTTGAAGCCTAAAGAAATCTTAACCATTTGCCCAGATTTCTTTTAGGGGAGCTCAGTATAGTGACTTTTTGACACATACATGATATCTGTTTGGCCTGTATTTTCTAGTAAATAATTTTGTTCATGCTAATGCAAAACATAAGAAACATTATTTATAGAAGAACTATATCTTACCAAAATCAAGCTCTGTCTCTGCAGGCGACCTTTGAAATAGGACACGAGCTTCAGCAAGTTGTCCATCAAGCTCCCTGATGGCAAAATCTGAATGGAGAACCTGGAGCTCTCCTGCCCCAGCTTGTATGACCTTGAGAAGGACTACTGCTGAGACCATTTAAATCACATGTGACTACATGTTTTGGCAGGTCTTGCCATCAGCTGTTTTATTCACATACTAAGTAGTATTTCTTACTCCTTCTCTTTTCTTCTGTGCGCTGGTAGGAAGAGGGACTGGGAGCTGGTATCTTATGCCTTTTGGGTACTTGTGCTGGAGACAACTTTGTTCACTTGATAGAATATTACTCTAAGAATTCACCTCAGAGCTGAGCATGATAGTATAATAGTGTCTTATTAACAGACTATTATTATCTGTATTGCTAACATACTAACTGTACTATTCACATAACAGTGTGATATTTCTGCTTCACACCTACTGTATTTGATAATGAAATAGTCCATTTGTGCCTGAACCTGTATCTGAATTGTCTTTGAGTTTTTCCTAGTAAAAACCTGAATATAGAAACAAATGTAGTAAAGAGATGTTTGCCTTCGGTTATACCTGTTGTCGTGGTTTTTTACCACAGACAGGTGTGTTCAGAGTTACCTTAGGCGATGTGCTGTGCGGTTTCCTATTTTGTGTGATTGCAGCTCTGGGACTCCTAGAGGGTAGAAGGCCACACACAACACTGGCTTTCTAAAAGTCCGAATAGCAGCTGATGTTTTCAGATAAGATACTTTCTAAAGGCTTCGTGGGTGCCTGCCATGAGCGTTCATAACGGCATGCATCGCTCTTAGCCGTCTCTCAGCCCGCCATGTATCTTGCTGAGGGCAGAGGTCTGTGACGGACATGCACAGGTCCTGCTAATGACAGCGACACGTGGCAGGTGTGCTGGAGTTCATGCGTAATCCTAGGCGTATAAGCCATCGATCTGCAAACACCTAAAGTGTGAGAGCAAGGTGAACTGTGAAAACAAATTGACCTGCATTCCTTCCATGTAATCTCCAGACACTAAAGTGCGGAGCCCTCATCTTCCGCAAACCGCCCCTTATTTTATTCAGAAAGACTGCCTGTAGAAGTCTGTTACCACGTTGCCGCAGGAGAGAGCATCGCTCAGACTGGCGAAAGGGAAAGGCTAGGTCTAGGGCATTTTTCTTGGTCAGTTGGGTTTTTGAAACTAAGATGGACAGACCCTGTTACGCTCTGACAGGTGTTTTCATCCATACCCTTGGGGGTGTACACATCCTGACAAGGGTCTTCTCCATTCCTCACTTCTGATCAGGAAATTCACAGGTCACATCTCACTTTCCTGACCAGAAGATTCTACCCCGTAGTACCTCGATAGGGCAGGATTTAACTATAAGCTAGTAAGGGAATAAGCACTTAAAGCATCAGTACTGGCAGATAGTGTTGACGTGCCAGCATTACGGTGATGCTGGTGTATTGCCATCGCCTTTTTCCAGCGTAGTGATGAAGCCTTGGGGAGTCTTCACGTTGAGCATCACATCAGACATTCTGATTTCCTATGTCAGTGCCTTTTTCTAGGACAGGGATGTTGGCTGGGCAGGCTGCAAGAGCTCCGCTTGTATATATCCTAATTTTACCCTCACCTTAGATGCTGCTTTTCAGTAAAAGATCCAAGTGGGATAAATTGCAAGAAGTCTATATGACTCTCTGGACTAACAGCTGCTTTAAGGATTCTGAAGATTAGAGGCTCCTGTGTTTAATTCTGACTCTTGGTTTGGTTGAGTGACAGAGGTCGGGCAAGCACTCCCTGTCTGAAAGACCAGTCTGCCTCCCCGCACTGCAGACACGTCTGCACGGGCCACTGAGGACCACGGTGTTAGTGTGTGGAGTGTGCGCCATGAGGAAATAGAATCACCTTGTTGTCTGGGACAAGAGATCGTAACTGTTACAGAGTCACTCAGTCCCCTAGTTCGACTTTAACCAGGATGTATGTTGAAGGGTTCGTTTCCAGTCTTTGCTGTGCTTAGGGGACTTAGGTGTGTTGAGTGTATGAGGCTCAGCTCTTGTCCTCTGTAGTCAGCCCTGGAATGCCTACCAGAGAAGCTGGTGCAGCCGTTGCTCACAGAGCAGGGTTATTTGCTTCTTGTGTGGCAGGCACTGGACTAGGCCCTGGGTGTCCGTTGGTGGACTTGTCCTCGTGGAGCTTCCAGGCCCGTGACCAGTCTGCGCCTAAATACATTTTTTTATTTTATCCTCACTCGAGGACGTTTTTGCATTTCAGATAGAGCAGGAGGGAGAGAAGGGGGAAGGGAGAGAGAAAAACATCAATGTGAGAGAGACACATCGACTGGCTGCCATCCACACAACCCCATCCGGGGCCGGGGACAAACCGCAACCGAGGTACATGCCCTTAGTGGGAACCGAACCCGGGTCTCTCTGGTCCGCGGGCTGACGCTCTAACCGCTGAGCAAAATCGGCCAGGGCTGTGCCTAAATATATTTTGAAGCTAACTGGAATGTATGTATTTATACATACTCGTATTTGACATAGATGTTTAATGAGATAATGTGGATAGAAAGGGGGAAGAAAGTAGAGAAATGATAACTCTTTTTTTTTATCTTCACCTGAGGACATTTTTCTAGTTTTTGTTCAGGTAGAGTGGGAGGGGGAGAGAGGAAGAGAGAGAGAGAAACATCGATGTGAAAGGGACACATCGAGTGGCTGCCACCCGCACGACCAACCAGGGCCGGGGACAAACTGCAACCGAGGTACGTGCCCTTAGCGGGAACTGAACTCGGGTCTCTCGGGACCGCAGGCCAACGCTCCAATCGCTGAGCCAAACCGGCCAGGGCGAGAAATGATAGCTCTTTACAAATATTTTATGCTTGTCATGTAGAAGGATTAGATTAAGGTTGTGTTGTTTTGAAGGCAGAATTCAGCTTTGCACATTTAAGAATGTTTTAACTCCTAGTCATTCCATCAACAAGTATAGTAAATCCTCACTTAACATTGTTGTTAGATTCTGCTACTTCAAGCAAAATACCATGTAGTGTAAGTGTTGTTATTACAGGCTAATTGATAGAAACAAGTTGAGCTCTATGATGCTGAAGCAGTAAGACGTCCTTCGAGAACCTGCTGCAGCCAGCACGGTGGTAGCTGCTGGGACACAGTGTGGAACAATCTGCTCTCTTCTCTGGATGTGACTTCAGTCCAGTGAGGGAGACATGGTCAGGAACTAATTACACAAGTGATGCAGAGAAATCCAGCTGTTAAGAGTCCACAATGGGGCCTGACCCAGTCTGGGACTTGGGAATGGAGGGAAGTGAAGGCTTCTCTGACGCATGTATGTTTAAGCTGAGATTTAAAGGGTGAAGACTTAGCTGGGCTGGGTGTGGGGGAGCAGGTCCTGAAATGGGGGTGAGAGTGGCTTGGCTGAGAGGCTAGTGGGGCCAGGTCCTGGAGTGGGGAGGTGGTGGGTGCTAAGTTGATGCTGGCCCACGGAGGGCCTGGTACTGCTCCCCCTTGGGGCTGCCTCCTGGGGCTCCCAGGGGTAGCACTCTGTGCCACACACTGTGCTGAGGCAATGGGACGTGTCACCTCCAGTCCCCACACGGCCTTGTGAGGAAAGGCCCATCCTCTTCTCGCTTCACAGATGCGGTAGCTTAAGGTTAGACCTCAGAGGCTTAGGAGAAAGAGCCAGAAGTTCCTCAGCCGAGTGGAGCTGGGTTTCAGCTCGGAACCCTCGGCTTCTAGAGCCCGTCCTGACCATTCACCTACTGCCCATCAGTACAAGCTCTAACACACGGGTAACACAGGCAGAGGTTACAAGTTCCGCGCAGTATGAGGCCTTCACACCAGCTGGTCAGAAATGTGGACAGGGAGAGGCAGGTGCGCCCAGGGATTGTAGTGTTCCTCCCTCAGAGAGTGGACGGCCACCTGTCAGGGCCGGAGTAGGAAGGAGGCGGGAGCAGGTGAACCCTGCACTCCCTCTGGTTTCATCGGGCTCGCCGCACGGTAAGATTATTGTGTCCATGTTTGTGTTTTTCCTCCAGTGACCATGAAAGGCGCCAGGTTGACAGCACTGGAAACTGAATTACCAATTGTCCCCAGAACAGGTAAGGTATCGACTAGTCCACCGGTTGGGGGGACAGAAGGGAATGGATCATCTAGTTCGTGGTTGTACTAGTGCGTGGATGTTTCTTTGCACACCGGATTTAACATTTATGGCTTTAGCTGCTTGCTAGGAACTGGACCGTCTGTGGCATGAAGTAATTGGTCAAGTTACTGATGATGTTTGATTGCTTATTCAGTGCCAGGCACTGTTACATCATTACTTTTCTCTTCACAGCACACGTTTGGTGTGACCCCTTTTTACAGACGAAGACTGTACATTTGTCACCTAATTTCCCTAAGACCGTATGGCCAGCACTTGGTGGACCCATGACTCAAGTCAGTTCTAACAGCCAAGTGTGGTTTTCCTCACGAAATTCAATTGAAACCTGTGTTGGACCAAGTCATTTCATGAGAGCAGAGGTTCTCTCCAGGCTATGCCTCAGATGTGCACGTGGGTCTGGAAACGGAAATGTGGTGTGAAGAGTGTGCCACCCCTCACCTGCTCTGCAGTGGGGCCTGGGCTGCAGGAGTGTGTAGCTCGGGGGGTGCTGTGCATCCTGGCAGCCAGTCAGCATCGCATCCTAACGTGGCTTCTGTGGGTGGTTTTCGTTAGTTTGGGGTGAATTATCTGCTGCAGTGGGTTCTAGGAGCTGAAGGACTCTGAGTCCCAGGATGCATCCTTCATAAATGTCAGGCGCTGGCATTTCTGTGGAGATGAGCTTAGTCTCAGTGAGCTGGCTCATCACTGAGCTGTAAGTTGGAGTTGACCAGGTGTTTGGTCCGCTGTACCGGGATCAACCCTGTGACCCTTTGGTCCGAGGGCTGATGCTCTAACTGCTGAGCCAGACCAAGAAGGGCTAGTCTGCTGTCTGTATTTTTATTTTATCTTTTAAAATATGTTTTTATTGATTTTTTAGAGAGAGACATAGAAACATCGATTGGCTGCCTCCTCCATGCCCCCTACTGGGAATCAAACCCGCAACCCGGGCATGTGCTTTGACCAGGAATCAAATCTGGACCTCTCAGTCCATGGGACGCACTCAGTCCACTGAGTCACACCAGCCGGGCTAGTCTGCTGTCTTAATACACAGACAGCTAATGGGATTCATTTACTGGCTTGCAAGTGGCCATTTATGATACTCTGTCACTGTCTGCCTCATCTTTTTTTTTTTTTATCCTCACCCGAGGACATTTTTCCATTTTTTTTGTTCAGATAGAGTGGGAGGGAGAGAGAGGAAGACAGAGAGAAGCATCGACGTGAAAGGGACACATCGAGTGGCTGCCACCCCCACGACCAACCAGGGCCGGGGACAAACTGCAACCGAGGTACGTGCCCTTAGCGGGAACCGAACCCGGGTCTCTCTGGACCGCAGGCCGACGCTCTAACTGCTGAGCCAAACCGGCCAGGGCTGCCTCATCTTACATCGTAGGAATTGTGAAACAGGTAGGGATTTTTGTCTTAAAGATAGATGTTTGCCCTGGCCGGTTTGGCTCAGCAGTTAGAGCGTTGGCCTGCGGTCCAGAGAGACCGGGGTTCGGTTCCCGCTAAGGGCACGTACCTCGGTTGCAGTTTGTCCCCGGCCCTGGTTGGTCGTGGGGGTGGCAGCCACTCGATGTGTCCCTTTCACGTCGATGCTTCTCTCGCTCTCTCTTTCTCTCCTACTCTATCTGAATAAAATGTGGAAAAATGTCCTCGGGTGAGGATTAAAAAAAAAAAAGAAAAAAAAAGATAGATGTTTGTTCACAAACAGGGACTCAGTGTGGATTGTAGATTGTCTCATAATGCGGAAGCATCATCCTCTCAAGTAGGGGAGGCTAAGTTTGTCTTTTCATTTTCAATTTTTTTTAATGTGGTTAATACTGTCCCTTTTTTAATCTTCACCCAAAGATGTGTTTTTTAAAATTGATTTTTAGAGAGAGAGAGAAACATGGATTGGTTGCCTCCTGTGCGCACCCCGACCAGAGGTTGAACGTGCATCCTGGGTATGTGCTCTGACTGGGAGTCGGACCTGCCACCCTCTGGTGCACAGGACGACGCTCCACCCAGCCGAGCCACCTGGCCAGGGCAGCACTGTCCCTGTTTCAGAAATCCACTGAACATGAATTCAAACAGTCAGGTGTTCATGTCATTGAGATCCAAGCTGAGCATCACATCACAGATCTTAAGTTTTATTAAACATTTTTCTATTACCACAATTGTATTATGTTTTAGTAGCCAGGTTTTTATTTCTAAATTTTTCTTAATTTTTTAGAGAGAGAGAGAAAGAGACATCAATGTGAGAGAGAGACATCAGTGTGAGAGAGAAACATTGATTGGTTGCCTCCCACATGTACCCCAATTGAGGATCACATCCGTAACCTGGGTATGTGCCCTGACTGGGAATTGAACCTGCCACCTTTTGATACTTGGGACAGTGGTCCAACCAGCTGAGCCACGGTGGCCAGGGCAGTAGCCAGATTTTTAAAGTTTGAAATTTTAATACAGGAAAAATACTTTGTCAGCACTATTAGCTGCTAGGTTGCACCTGTGGTCGCTGGTGCACGTGTGTGATAGTGATTGCTGGTGTGCCTGGGATGGTGGTCGCTGGTGCACTGTGTGATGGTGGTTGCTGGTGCACTTGGGTGATGATGGTCGCTGGTGCACCTGGGTGATGGTGGTCGCTGGTGCACCTGGGATAGTGGTAGCTGGTGCACGTGTGCATTGGTGGTCGCTGGTGCACTGTATGATAGTGGTCGCTGTTGCATCTGGGATGGTGGTCACCGGTGCACGTGTGCGATGGTGGTCGCCCGTGCACTGTGTGATGGTGGTCGCCCGTGCACTGTGTGATGGTGGTCGCCGGTGCACGTGTGCGATGGTGGTCGCCCATGCACTGTGTGATGGTGGTCGCCGGTGCACGTGTGCGATGGTGGTCGCCAGTGCACGTGTGCGATGGTGGTCGCCTGTGCACTGTGTGATGGTGGTCGCCGGTGCATGTGTGCGATGGTGGTCGCCTGTGCACTGTGTGATGGTGGTCGCTGGTGCACGTGTGCGATGGTGGTCGCTGGTGCATGTGTGCGATGGTGGTCACTGGTGCACGTGTGATAGTGGTCGCTGGTGCACGTGTGTGATACTGGACATTCACCTTCAGCTGCCACAGTTAGTCCTGTCACTAATCTTCTGGACAGGGCTGATTTAATTCAGGAGAGTTTCTGGTAGGTTGTGTTCCAGAGGTAAGCCGAGTCTGGACGTCATAACTTGGGCAATGGCTGATTCTTCATCTTTAGCTGCTGCAGATTGTTGGCTGTCCATATAGGTCATTTTGACAAGCTTTTTGTTTACATTTTTAGCCTTCATAGACACAAAACTTCAATAAATTGTCTATGTAAAGTGTTTTTGTAAGTGAGTACAAAATGTGTTTGATTATTTCATTTTTTTAAACGTTTTCTTCTTTTTTTTAAAATTCTCACTTGAGGACATTTTCCCATTGATTTTTAAGGGAGGGAGAGAGAGAGAGAGAGAAAGAGAAACAAGCATTGATGTGAAAGAGACATGTCAGTTGGCTGCCTTCCGCATGACCCTGATGGGCTGGAGATCAAACCTGCAACCCAGGTACGTGCCCTTGATCAGGAATTGAGCTGGTGACCCCTCAGTCCACTGGACTGATGCTCTAACTACTGAGCGAAACCGGACAAGGCTCGTCCTACTCTACATTCTTCATGTTTGGCTCGAGGACTGTTTGCTGCGGGTTCTGCTGTGTGTGGTTTTAAATTTTTTCATGACTTAAAAATGGAGGTGACAGGTAGACATTTTGTTTTTGATTCATTTTCACATGACATGAAGTAGTCCCAAATATGACTTTTTCATGAAAGACTACAAACTGAATGTAGTTCTTAAGGTTATTTTGTTCTGTAATAAAGGCTTAAAAGAAAAATGCTTTAAAGGAAAATATAGTTTCTGTCATTTAGCCAGGTGTTACTAAAATTTTTGTAAATATTTGGCTCAAAGAATAATTATTGTTATTTATAGTTATCTAACTAAATATACCCTATTAACATTTATATAATTAGTTAATATATTTAACTATTTGGAAGTTCTTGTTTTTGAACATAAAGGTCACGTCATTGACTGCAGCTTTCGTTTTTATAAGTATACTTTTATACTTAAACTGACAGAATTCCAACCTATAAAATACAAAACTTGCATGGTATGTCTAGAATGTTTTACCTTTGTCTGAAGGTGATCGTGCAGATGTTCACAGTGATTCTGACGCACGCATCGTCCACTTTGATGACATCTGGTGGATTAGATATATGGTGACAACATGAGCATACAGTTGTCGATCTCTCTCACACACTCACATTCACTCGATGCCACCAAGGGAGGCAGCTGACGGTTCAACTTTCACACCTTCTAAAGACCGGGGCTGAAGCCAGGTACCAGGTTTTGGCCAAGTGTCCAGACTGAGACCTGAAAGCCAGTTGGCCATGCGAGGGTGTGGGGGAAGAGCGCTCCAGGGCGGAGGGGACAGTGAGTGCAGAGGCACTGAGCAAGCACCAGCTTTCCTGGGTTTCAAGGGCAGGGACCAGAGCAGAGAAATGAAGCTGCGGAGTGGTGTGGAATGAAGGCAGGGGGAGGTGGGGACTTCATCAGTGGCTGAGCATGGGGACCCTTAGAGGCCACTCATGAGTTTGGCTCTTATTAGCTCCATGGGAAGCCATTGCATGATTTTATTTCATTTCACGTATTTATTTTTTTAATCCTCACCCGAGGATAATTTTTCCTTTTATCTTCAGATAGAGTTGGAGGGGGAGAGAGAGAGAGAGACACATCCACTGGCTACCTCCCATATGACCTGACCTGGCCTGGGGACGAACCGCAACTGATGTACATGCCTTTGACCGGAATTGAACCCATGACTTTGGTCCGTGGGCCAACACTCTAACCACTGAGCAAAACTGGCCAGGGCCCATTGCATGATTTTATTTTATTTTATTATTTTTTTTAATCCTCATCCGAGGACATATTTCCATTTTTTGTACAGACAGAGTGGGAGGGAGAGAGAGGAAGAGAGAGAGAGGGAAACATCGACGTGAAAGGGACACATCGAGTGGCTGCCACCCGCACGACCAACCAGGGCCGGGGACAAACTGCAACTGAGGTACGCGCCCTTAGCGGGAACCGAACCCTGGTCTCTCCGGACCGCAGGCGGACGCTCTAACCGCTGAGCCAAACTGGCCAGGGCCCATTGCATGATTTTAAACGGGAGTGATAGATTCTGATTTCCGTCTTTGAGTTTCTGTTTGGTGGCAGATGAGTTTAGGGGAGCGGGAATGCAAGCAGGAAGGTGATGAGGGAGTCCGCTGTTCCCTTGTCTCCAAGGTGATGACGGGGCTTGGACTGGGCCACAGCAGAGGGTCAGTGAAGTCAGTGTGTTTGCTGATGGGTTAGATGTGAGGGTAAGAGTGGTGGAAGCAACAAGGATCCTTCACTGTCACCTAGATGTTTGCTCTAGGCTGATGGTCTTGCCTTTTACTGAGACCAGAAGACTGCCCGAGTGACAAGGTTTGGGGTGGGTGGTGGGTGTTGAAAGTCGTAGCTCCTCAGTATAAATAGCAGAGTCTATAACACGGTGCGGTGGCCTGCAGCCACTAAAGACAACCTGAAAGTAGCTGAAATGTTGCTTTGGCATGTAGATACAGACATGTGTTAACCCAGATGTTGACTTCTGGCTTCTCCTATCTCCTCTGTTTTCTGTACTTGGTTCTTTCCGAGATGGAGAGAGACTTGCACGGCAGTAAGCGGGTGTTCCATGTGCTGTGATCTGACCTTGTGTGTCCGTGCCAGCAGCTCTTCTGTGGGCTCTAAAGTGTGCTTAGCACGTGTGCATCTCACCCAGCACCCCCAAGTCCAGCTCGAGCTGGTCCCGCCCCCCGTGCACCCACTGACCTGTGGCCAGTTCTCTGCGCACACGGAGTTCCTCACTGCGCTTTCTAAGGCTGCCTGCCCCGGCAGCCCCTGCACTGAGGCCCCCGGGAGGGTTTGAAGGTATTTTAGAAGGAGAGATGTTTTAATCATGGGACTCATTCCAAAAACTTACAGTTTAACTCTCATGAGGGCTTTTTAGAATATCAGAAATCCTTGAACTTGGGTCACTTAAGTGAAGAATCTCACATAAAGCCCAATATTTATATTTTTTTCTGGGAATTAGAAAACATGGTTCTGAAGTAGAATTTTAGAACCAAAGAGAAAAGCTTGCTGCCAAAAATGTTCTAATGTGTTTCAGCCAAAACCTTATTTTTGCCTTCTGTAAGCATTTGGAAAGAGTAGGCTTCAGAAACCAGACTTTTGTGCCTGAATTATATTTACAAACTGAAAAACAAGTTGGATAGTCCAAGCTGGTCAGCCCTCACTGGATGGTCGCCATCTTTGTTTAGATCTGAGCTCCTGTCAACTGTGCCGTGGGCCTGCATTTGGGGGATCAGCCCTGACAGGGCCGTCTTCTCAATGCACGAAAGACAGCATCTCACGGGACAGAGCTGACAACTTTGTTGGAACAATACTGCACTTATGGACAAAATACTTTAAATCTGAGGATTGTTTGTGATTTACCTGAAGTAGAAATGAACTTGGGGCTGGGAAGGTTGATGTGCTCTTTTTTTTTTTTTTTTTATCCTCACCCGAGGATATTTTTCCATTTTTTGTACAGATAGAATGGGAGGGAAAGAGAGGAAGAGAGAGAGAGAAACATCGACGTGAAGGGACACATCGAGTGGCTGCCACCCGCACGACCAACCAGGGCCGGGGACAAACTGCAACCGAAGTACGTGCCCTTAGCGGGAACCGAACCCGGGTCTCTCCAGACCGCAGGCCGATGCTCTAACCGCTGAGCCAAACTGGCCAGGGCGGTTGATGTGCTCTTAAAAAGTCATCTCAAAAGTGGTGTCCCAAAGATATTTACTAGTGTTCTTCCTGATAATGTACAGCGCCGCTCAGTGGGTATTTATTTGGGCCGGGTACTGTGCTCAGGTGTATGACATACATCATCTCCTTTAATCCTCCCAAAGAATAAGCCCCGGCAGGCTGGGGTTACCTTCCCTCATTACTGATTTAATCCAGCTCACAGTGACATTTCTCTTTTCAGCTTGGAATTCTTTTACGATAAAATCTTACCAGTTGTAAGATTTCTGAGCCTTTTCAAAATTACTTCCTTTGTGATTTACCTGTAAGATTTATATTTATAGGTGTGACTCAGCAACTTAACTACTTCATGATTTGCTATCAAAAATGCATTTAGACATTGAAAAAAATAGTATGTTTTCATTGATTTTTTTTTTTTTAGAGAGGAAGGGAGAGAGAGAGAGAAACATCAATATGAGGGAGCAATGTCAGTTGGCTGCTTCCTGTATGGCCCCCGTTGGGGATCAAGCCCAAAACCTGGGCATGTGCCCTTACCGGGAATCGAACCAGGACCTCCCACTCCATGGGACGACACTCAATCCACTGAGCCACACTGGCCAGGTGCCTTTAGACATTTTAATTGATTTCTCTAGCTAATGAACTTCGGATGTACCAAGAGCCAAATCAGTGAACATTGCCAGGTCATAATTAAACATGAGCATAGATAGTAGTAGTTAATACTCGCCAGTGTTCAGGGTTATTGCTACTTTAAATTTGGCCCTTGCAGGAGAAGTTTAACTCTTTGGCTTGGTGTTTCTCAAACAGTTTTATGTACCATCCACAAAAGAATCACCTGAGTGCTTATTAAAATGTAGATTCCCGAGCCCAAAATTCAGTCTGGAATGGACCCAGGAAATTGCATTTCTAACAGGCATCCTGAGTAATTTTGATATACATTAAAGCTGGATAACTTCTACTTTAGCTTATTCAAAGAAAAGGCAAATAGAAAATAAGAGTATATTTTAATATGGCTGCAAATGACATATATATTTATATTCATTGGTCTGGGAACTTGGCCAGCTGTGTTTTGCTTTACTATGTGACCTTGGTAGACTCATTCACCTTTCTTGAGTATCCATATTCTCACTGTACAATAAGGATAATAGCTGCTCACCTCGCAGAGTGGCTGTGGGGGGTCAAAGCTACACACTAGCTTACTGTCACGTTCAAGGGCTCGGGGCTTTGGAGTCTGGCAGATCTGGGCTCAGCTTTCAGTCCTTCCCTGGTTTGGTCTCTCGCTGGCTTTGTGACCCCAAGCTAATGGCCTGACCCCTGTCCCTATAAAAACGGGGACCAAGGAGCTGATCACACGCTACTAGGAAAGGAGCATGTTCGTTGGTGTTTGGAAAAGGTGTGCAGTGCCTGTCTGACATGTGGTAGCGGATATTACTTGTTTTTGAAAACAGAGCTTTAGTGACTAAGTGGGGAGAAATCATAACTGTGTGCGTAGCCACGCTTGGCAGGTGAGCTGCTTTTCTGTACGTGAAGATGACGCAACTGCTCCACTGCCGTAAGGACTGGGTTTTGAAGGTGAAGTTTGCCCCGATGCCCCTTCCATGTAACCAATGGCATGAGGAGTGTACACTCCAAAGAGAGAAATGACCCCTGGTTCGAACTAGTACTGACCTCAGGGACTTGTGACCTAGCCAGCTGTACTAACTTGTAGACATTGAAGCAGTTGTCAAGAAGAAATATTATGCTTCTAGTTCTTTTTCTGCAAATAGTCCAGCTACTTTTTAGGTCAGTGGTTTGAAAAATAAACATAATCTTAGCTAGAATCCAAGGCAGAATCAGAAGTAGACATAACTTCGATTTGGATATTTTATGAAGTTGCAGTGACGATCGGTCTGAACGTTGTCGGCTTTCGGTTTCTCTCTGATTGTTGCATCTGTAGAACTCCTCTTCGAAAACTTGTCATAGGTAGAATTACACACCCTCAATGCTGTCATCAACAAAGTTCTGGACACATTTCACGGCACTGGACACGTGCGCTGCTTTGTCTTGTAGGTAGTTCTTTTGTGGGGAAAAACGAGACCATTTGGTCACACTGTCGTCTTCCTTTTCTCAGCCTGGTAGTGGCACCAATGAAGAGCCTTCAGAGTCTTTAATGAACGTCCTGGACCCGGCACAGCACATCCGTGTAAGAAAATGGCCCAACAAGCCAATATTGGGGAGCTGCTCCCCATGCTGGACTCCCCCGTGCTGAGTGTGCGTGAGGACGTCACAGCTGTCTTGAAAGAGAACCTCAATTCTGGTGAGCAAGATCATGTTCTTTTCTGCTCATCCTGCCAATCGGCAGAGATTGACCAAGGGGTGACCAGAATCCCGCGGGTAAATTGTGGTTTCATCTTCTCGAGAGTCTTTAAAACCACCAACAAAGAGCGTATGTTGGCGGTGTCATTCTGTGTGTGTTTTCAGCTTTCTTTTTGAATCCTCACCTGAGGATATTTTTCCATTTATCTTCAGACAGAGTGGGAGGGAGGAAGGGAGGGGGAGAGAGAGAGAGAGAGCGAGTGAAAGAGAAACATGGATATGAGAGAGACGTATCGATTGGTTGCCTCCTGTATGACCCCAACCAGGGCCAGGGACCAAACCGCAACCGAGGTATGTGCCCTTGACCAGAATCAAACCTGCAGCTCTTTGGTCCACGGGCCAACACTCTAATTGTTGAGCCAAACCCTCCAGGGCATGTTTCAGCTTTAAACTGCAGAGTATTCAAATATGCACATAGACGTAGATGTAAGGACCCCAGAGTGAGCCCCATGGACCCAGTGCCCAGGTTCCGCCATTCTTATTTCAGCTGAGCTTCGCTGACTCTCCCCACCCAAGGGTTTTTTTGTTTTGTTTTTTATCCTCACCCAAGGACATTTTTCGATATTTTGTTCAGATAGAGTGGGAGGGAGAGAGGGAGAGAGAGAGAGAAACATCAATATGAAAGGGACACATTGAGTGGTTGTCACCCACACGACCCAACCAGGGCTGGGGACAAACTGCAACCAAGGTACATGCCCTTAGCAGGAACTGAACCCGGGTCTCTCTGGACTGCAGGCTGATGCTCTAACTGCTGAGCCAAACCAGCCAGGGCCCACCCAAGCGTTTTAAAGCAAATCCCAGATATGACACTTCATCTGTATATCATATATGTTATTTAAAAAACATTTTTTTTCTTTATTGATATGAGAGAGAGAGAGAGAGAGAGGAAGGGAGAGGGGGAGAGAGAGAAATATCGATGAGAGAAAACATTGACTGGCCTCCTCGTGCATGCCCCCCACTGGGGATCAGGCCCACAACCTGGGCATGTGCCCTGACTGGGAATCGAATTGGCGACCTCTTGGTGCAGGGTCAGTGCTCAACCACTGAGCCACACCAGTCAGGCTCATATATGTTATGTTTTTAATCCTCACCTGAGGACATTTTTTTTTGCATTTATCTTCAGATAGAGCGGGAGGGAGAGAGGGAGAAAGAGGGAGAGAGAAACATCGATGTGAGAGAGACACATCAAGTGGCTGCCACCCACACGACCCCAACCGGGGCCGGGGACAGACTGCAACCGAGGTATGTGCCCTTAGCGGGAACCGAACCTGGGACTCTCTGGTCCATGGGCTGACGCTCTAACCCCTGAGCCAAACCGACCAGGGCCATATATGTTATTTTTAATATGAGAACTGCTTAACCTTTTTTTTAATTGGAGGAAAACAATTTGAACAGTACCCATTTTGCTTTCCAGGTTGGTAAAAATCAAATATTGATTATAGAGATGGACATTGTTAGCAGGAGAATAAATTGGTGTTCAGCCTTTTTGCAGTATCTGTCATCAGTTTAAAAACATGTACCATTTGCTCACTTACAAGAATCTGTATTTCATTATAGCCTTGAATAAATACAGTGAAAGATTACTTTCACATAGTCTGAATTGTTAACAATAGACATAGATTATTTTTGTAAATAAAAAGTAATAAAAAAGATAGCATTTTATATACTCATATGGATATGGAGGCAGACAAACTTGGTGCTGTCTCACTGTCGACCCTAAATCATTGGACGGAGGCAGAACTGGGATTCCTCCTGTGACTTTGGGTAGTGTATGGAGAAATATCCGGATTTTGTGGCAGCCAGCTATCTGGGGTGCATTTCGAATGTTAAAGGAAATAACTGTGGGAGACTGCCCCCTTCTTTGTTTAGACCGCGGTCCGATGCTTGTGAACACCTTGGTGGATTATTACCTGGAAACCAGTTCTCAGCAAGTGTTGCACATCCTGACCACCTTGCAAGAGCCACACGATAAGGTAACTGCTGGGGTGCAGCGGGGAGCCTGGGCGATGTCGTCACATGCGGTGTGCTGGCTTCTCCGCACCCCTGTGGGGCAGGCTGCACAGCTCACTCCGCAGCTCCTGCCGCCACGGAGGCCCTCGTGATAGGTTATCACCCCATGTAAAATCATCTGCAGGACCAGGAAAGTTTACAAAATGAAACAAATTTGACAGGTCTTTTAAGATATTGCTTTCCAAAGAAATCCTGGAATCCCCAAACTACAACTGTACAGTGCCAATTCGATCCATAAAGTACCCCTTTTAAAACCCTTGCTTTGAGTAGGATTTTTCGACTTCTGGTCGATCTGGGGAAATTGTAAGTGCAGTCACTAATGGGGCTTATGGATGAGTCCTGTTCCCAACACTCGGGAGATTCCTTAGGTTTTGCTTTGCTTTATTTTCATTGGTCGGTAGCTAACAGAGCACGGTAAGGCAGACTTTGGGCCATCTTGAGTTCATATGCTGGTGACTTTACCAGAATTTGAAGGCCTTGCCATTGTCTGCCTTTTATTTTTTTATTTTAATTTAATTTAATTTAATTTTTTTGTGTGGTGCGTGCCCCTAGCGGGAACCGAACCCGGGACTCTATGGTCCGCAGGCCGACGCTCAACCACTGAGCCAAACTGGCCAGGGCCATTGTCTGCCTTTTAGTATGTTGTTTTATTTTTCACTCCTGGCTGAATTGCACCTTCTGCTAGTACCTGATTATATTCGGGGCCAAACCATGTGGCTGGACTACTGTAGCAGGGAGAGTGCTTCCAGCAGGGCCCCTCACAGCTCCAACAGCCTGCTGCCGGCTGGGGGCCCGTGGCTAGGGGAAGAAGTGGCCTGTTTGTACTTTGAAAAGAGGGCCTATGGGGAGTGTCCTCCAGCCCCCCTACCTCCTGCGTGCTGTGGGGATCCTTCTTCAGAAGTGCGGACTGCTTGTCCTCTCTCAGGCCAGATGCAACAGTGTTTTGTTTGCCAACATGGTTTAAAACTTGATTTCTTCACCTGCGTGACCCTTGCTCTACATCAAGGGAAGCCTTGGGGGTCTGGAGCCCATCACTGCTGCCTTTGTGTGAACCTCATACATTCCCCCGAGGGTTTCCCGTGGTTCCCTTGACCGCCCTCCGCCCCCAGCCTTATTGAGATAGATGTCCCTGTTCTTTCACATTCTTAGCACCTCTTGGACAAAATGAATGAATATGTAGGCAAAGCCGCCTCTCGGTTACCCACCCTCTCGTTGCTGGGGCACGTCATCCGGCTGCAGCCGCCCTGGAAGCATAAGCTCTCTCAAGCACCTCTTCTGCCTTCTCTGCTAAAATGTCTCAAGGTAGGATGTTGGTGAGGATTCGGATGAAATGCTCTGTGCATGTCATTTCTGAAATGTTGAGTAACTTCAAGCAAGCAAGCAAGCTAGACTTGAACTTGGAGAGTTTGAAAACTCCGAGGCACTGGGTTTTGCACTGAGTGCGGAGTTGGGACCAAGTCCATTCTCAGCGCGTCACCGACTGCCCAGCAAATAGAGTAATGTTTTGGTCAGGTTAGTTCAACATTATTTATTCTAAGCCTCTTTGATTTCATCCTTGGCTGGCCTTCCCTCAGTTCAAAATATGCTGGTTTGTCTTTGGGAAACCCCCATTCCTAGATTCCTCTCCGACTAGCGGAGTACGGGCTCATGTCTGCTCATGGCTCCAATCAAGGGGCCTGCTGAGTTGCATCCTCCTTTTTTGCACTAACTTTAGTTTTTATACACGGAGATTGAACCCTAAATAGAACCTTATGGTTTGAGTGTTGATGGGCTTACTGAGCTACTCAGGGCTCTTTGCTTGGTTCTAGCTCCCGGGCTGTTTCCGATGTGCAGAGTGAGAAGATGTGGGTGTGCAGTGCTTGCACCTCCCGGAGACGTGGAAGTCCCGGCAGCACTTGTTGCTGCTGGCACAGCCCCGGGTGCGCCCCGTGCGCACCCTGCACAGGGGACTTTGTCTGCCAGCAGGGGAACTGCTGCTCTGTGACCCCTAGAGGCGGGTCTCAAGTTGTCGCATTGATAGGGGTCATAGAAACATGCATGTAGAAACTATTTTAACAACTTACTGTTTTTAAAATCCTTACCCAAGGATATATTTTTATTGATTTTTAGAGAAAGGGGTAGGGAGAAGGAGAAGAGAGAGAAACATTGATTGGTTGTCTCTCGTGTACGTCCTGATGGGGGATTGAACCCACAGTCTAACTTTGTGCCCTGACCAGGAATCAAGCCTATAACCTTTTGGTGTACGGGTTACACTACAACCAACTGAGCCACCAGGCCAGAGCAACGACTTAATTTTTTAAGCTACTAAATTGATGAGGATACAACCCAGTTTTAAGGCACACCATTTAGTTCAGATTGCAGAACTGCCTACCTTTTCCAAAAAGATAAGCCTTGAAAATTACTTCTGGGCTGTTACCCACGCCTTCAGCTAGAAGGTGGTAAAACTAGGGTTAATCCTTTTCACTGGAGCCCATCATGCATTCTCTTGCTAACAGTCTCTGTACTTATTACTAGAGAGCTGCTGTAACGAAAGGCACAGCACTGATGTGAAAACGAAGGATGTTCAAAACTTGATTTCCAGACTGATAGATTCCTTTTTAAGTAGGAATAATGAATGTCTTAACCTCCGTGGGAGTCTTTTGATTACCATCTTGTTTCTTAAATCTGAATTCCAGTTACCTGGCAGACAGCCATGATCTGATCTCAGGCCAGGTGAGCTGCTGTTGCAGTCTAGGCAATTCATTGTCCATTGAGTGTCAAGTGTCATCATTCGCCTGAAGTGCTGTGACTCGATATTTAGGTTGTCGACAGGTCAGAGGTCACCATGCTGCCTTTTATTAGCTGATTTCTTTTTTTTTTTTATTCAGAGTGGGAGGGAGAGAGAAGAGAGATGTTTCTCTAGAGAGAAACATCGATGTGAAAGGGACACATTGAGTGGCTGCCACCTGCACGACCCAACCAGGGCCAGGGACAAACTGCAACCGAGGTACATGCCCTTAGTGGGAACCGAACCCGGGTCTCTCCGGACCGCAGGCCGATGCTCTAACCGCTGAGCCAAACCGGCCAGGGCTTATTGGCTGATTTCTAAATACTGGGAAGGTGAGCCATGAAGTAGACTTGTTAGTGCTGAACTAATTTTTTTAAAGTTAGAATTCTGTTGTAATCCTTTGAAAAGCAGTGTATTATCAAAGTGTAGTGCTTTTTCAAATTGACTATAAAAAATAAATATTTTAGGATTTGGTTGCCTGAACAAAAACAGCAGTGTTTCTTTGTTCGATTAAAAAGCAGCTTCTCCTGCTTCCTCCGAGTGCTGTAGGTGGGGCGTCCTCGGCTTCAGGACTTGGTCGCCAGGCCCTGCTTAAGCTCCTCTCCCAGGGCCCATCTCCAAGCACATCGAGTGGTCCTTGCAGACTCCTGCAGTTGAGCTGGTCCTCAGAAGTTTTGCTGTGGAGTCTTGCAGTGCTGTTCCTCCAAAACCCTTAGGAACCTAGGGACAGGGACAGGGAGATGAGTCTGTGAACCTCTCATTTGAGACCCGTTGGTATTCAGAACCTCATCGTGCTCTGTGCTGCATCTGACAGGTATTTCTTCTTGCTCGACTTTCCTTCGCAGGTGGACACTGATGTCATCGTCCTCACAACAGGCGTCTTAGTGTTGATAACCATGCTACCAATGATTCCACAGTCAGGGAAACAGCACCTTCATGATTTCTTTGATATTTTTGGCCGTCTTTCATCGTGGTGCCTCAAGAAACCAGGTAAAGATCTCCTATCGTACCTGTCGTACCCTACCAGGTGGGTGTTTTTATTATTGATTAGCAGGTCATGAGCTGTAAGGGGAGGACATGTAGACTTTTGTGGCTGAATTGGGTGTTGTCAGTAGCTAGGTGAGGAACTAGCGTGGGTGCGTCCACTGTAGGCAGGAACGAGAGGCACGGCTGTTGAGATACCTTTCTTCTCAGAGAAATGGGGTGGCAGGAGGTAGAGCTTCCTGACTTTCGGTGAACTGAAAGCAACGTTGGCCTCTGCAGAGTGGGCCAGGACTGAGCTTATGGAACATTCTCGCCGTAGTCCGCGGGTCTGTTGTGACGGAGCACATGCCCCTGGCCCTGAGAAGCTGCTGTCTGTGGGAGGAGGGAGAACGCAGCGTGTCCTGACGCCCAGTCTCGTGTCAGACGCTGTGACTTGGTTACGCCTCGGAAGGGAGCACAGCTCTGTCAGAGTGATCCCGAAGCTGCAAGGGTGTAGAGTCGAGTCGGAATCCCAGCGTGAGATGTTTGTGCGGAAAGGGTGAAGTGTGCACCTGGGAGGCAGACCCTGCGGCTCCGAGCACGGCCGTGATGCGGTGTTCTAGTCGGCCCTCTGGGGCAGGGTGGTCTTCCGTTCTCTGGGGGCGCTTTCTGTGCACAGTGGACTTGGCTGTTTCCTCGGGTCCAGCAAGGCTAGATTAACTGGGTTTTCTTTCTTCCACTCTCAGCTCTTTTCATTTTATATTAAAAAAGTTTTTTTTCTTTATTGATTTTAGAGAGGGAAGAAAGGAAAGGGAGAAAGAGAAATATTGATGAAAGAGAATATTGTTGGCTGCCTCCTGCATGTCCCCCCACTGGGGATTTGGTTTACGACCTGGGCAGGTGCCCCGACTGGGAATCAAATTTGTAACCTCACAGTGCATGGGTCGATGCTCAACCACTGAGCCACACTGGCCAGGCTCTTTTTATTTATTTTTAAATATAAGAGAAAGAAACATTGATGTGAGAGAGAAACATTGATCAGCTGCCTTCTGCATGCCCCCCACTGGGGATCGAGCCTGCAACCTGGGCATGTGACCTGCCTAGGAATCGAACTGGGATCTCAGTCCATGGGATGATGCTCAATCCACTGAGCCACACCGCCAGGTGTCTCAGCTCTTTATAAAGCTAATTTCAGGATAATCACTTTCTCACTCTGTAGTTACACATTTGCATCGCTAAGACTACATACTGATTTTTAAAGGTTCTCACACATTTGTTCACAAATATTTAAATCTTGTTGTGCACCAAGCACAGTGCAAGGCACGAAGAGCACAGAAGTGAGTGGGACAGTTCTGTTCTCAGAAGCCTGTGCTGAGCAGGGCAGTGGACAGGATGATGGGAGACGTCAGGGACAGCGACTGGCATTGTGAAGCGGTGCAGGGCGGTGAGAATGTCTGGGCAGAGCTTAGCTCAGTAGGAGCCGGGGGTCACTCTGAGAGTGCGGAGTGTGTCCGAAGGCCCTCGGGGCCGCTGATGGATTTCCGCAGGGGTGTCTGGTGTGCTCACAAGTGCGTTGGAGAAAACCATCCTCACTGTGGGTCAAGATGGGGATGTCCAGAAGCAAGGGGTCCCGCGGGCAGCTTCGGGTTCGTGACTGGCGCACATCAGTCTGTGTTTGGCTGATCGTCTCCCGTTGACGGTTCCTTTTCAGGCCACGTGGCAGAAGTGTACCTTGTCCATCTCCACACCAGTGTCTACGCTCTCTTCCATCGCCTCTATGGGATGTACCCTTGCAACTTTGTCTCCTTTCTGCGCTCCCACTACAGCATGAAGGAGAACCTGGAGACCTTCGAGGAAGTGGTCAAGGTAAACGAGCACCGTGTAGACAGGCAGCATCTACAGCTGTCCTAGTAAACGGTAGGCGGGAATCCTGAAAAGAGATTCTGCCTCCCCCAACCCAGCGCTCCCCTCCCGGGCCCAGGCAACCACTGGACTGCTTCTTGCCTTCATAGGCTTGCCTGCCCTGCCCCTTTACACAGTCATCGCTTTGTAGCGTGTTCAGGGGTCATCTGTGTTGTAGCGTGTATTATTCATTCTTTTTTGCCAAGTAATATTCTGCTGTGTGGAGATATAGAAGTTAAGCCCTTTACTTGTCAAACCCCTCTAGCCAATGATGGAGCATGTACGGATTCACCCAGAACTAGTGACCGGATCCAAGGACCATGAACTGGACCCTCGGAGGTATGGAAACACACTAGTGACGTATTTCCCAGAGCACTGGAGAGGCTGAAGGTGGGACCTAGGAGTCATCCCTCTTGAGGAGTTGTTGGGGAATAGAGGTTCTGCTAATAGTCGGTCCCTTTGCAGGACTTGAACAGTGAAAACTTCCGATGAGTCTGAAACATGTTCCTGAGTGACAGAGAATAGATAGTTCATTTATATATTTATGTATTTATTTACTTATATATTTCTAAAATATATTTTCATTGATTTTAGAGGGAGAGGAAGGGTGAGGGAGAAAGAGAAGCATTGATATGAAAGAGAAACATCGATTGGTTGCCTCCTGTATGTGCCCCGACTGGGAATTGAACTGGCAGTCTTTTTGGCGCTCAACCAACCGAGCCACACCAGCCAGGGCTCGCTAGCTCATTGGGCAGAGTGGAGGCGGCTGCAGTGCAGATCCCTGCCCTTAGAGCCCCCAAGGGCTTCCAGCTCTGTGGGACCAGCGAGTGGGGAAGGGCATGGCTGAAGACAGGTGGACTGTGGAAAATCTGGAGATCCAGTCTGGACAAACTGGGTCCCTTTCTTCTGCTTCGCCGGGTGACTACCATCCTCCTTGGAGCCCACCTGCAAGGCTCCTGATTGGAGGATACCAGGCGTGGTGGGGGTTGTAGCTGAATCAGGACTGAAAGAGGCTCGGCTCCCTCCTCCTGCTTCTCTCCGGCTGGTAGCCAGGCTCACGCCCCCCAGGCGGGCGGCGCCAGTCCCAGTCAGCATGAAGCAGCCCACTGAGATCTCTGTGGAGAAGCGTAGAAAATGTGTGTGCAGAGCTAAACGGTAACATGCAGACCTGCGTGGCTGCCACCCTGCTTGACACACGGAACTGTCCCTCCTCAGTTGCAGCCATCCTTCTTGTTCCCTGTCCCACCTCAGAGACAACCACTCTTCTTGTTTTTGTGTTAACCATTCTCTTTCTTTTCTTATAGTGTTGCCATATATCTCATTTCATTTGAAAACTAATGGGAGGCAAAGCCTGGTTCAGGAAAACATAGTCTTGTCACTGTCAAATAAGGGTCCCAGAAGACGAGAGCAAGAACCGTGTCAGAGTGGTGGTCCGGCTTTTCCTTCCTTGAGAGTTTACAGGAGGCCCTCTGGGAAGGTCACTGGGCAAGGTCATGAGGGAGTCCTGGGAAAGGCGAGGCTGACCCTGGTCAGAGCAGCTGGCGAGGTCTAGAGTGAGGGCCAGGAGCTGGGCGTGCTGCCGAGGATCACAGAGGAAGGAGAGCGCTCGCAGGAGCAGGTCAGAGCAGAGTCCTGTGGGATGGAGTGGAGGTCCTCAGCCGATCCAGGCCGAGAAGGGCGAAGGAGCTTCAGTGTGTACTCAGGACACGCTGAGTACAGACGAGTGCTCTAGGAAGGAAGGGGTCACCGAGATTCTCTGTCCCTCAGTTCAGAACAGTATCGTGCCAGCCGGCCCCCAGCGAAGGCCTGCGCCACGCCCGTCTCGTGGCATGTCCGCTCTGATCTGCACGGGTCGTCTTCTGTGCCTCGCACAGAGCTGTCCCCTTGCTCGCCGGGGGCTCCCTGCGCTGCTCTCCGTGGCACGGCCTCCGTTTCATGTATCTCGTGTCTTCTTTCTTGGTTCTCTCTTGTTTTCATGGAGTGTATCCCTTAGCAGTTTTCAGAGAAAGGGTGCAGTTTTTGGCCAGGTGTAGACTTGTAGGTCTGGAGTCATTCTCGACCAGCCACTTGAAGCATCATTCCACTGCCACCTGCTTCCAGGGTTTCTGCTTGACTTCTGGTCGCCCGTGTTTGCTGTGTTTTCCTCTGTGGGGCCCGACAGCCTTTTCTTTGTTTTCACAATATTCTGAAATTTCCTAATGATGTCCCTTGCTGGGAGTCTGTTCTCGGTCTTCAGTCTGGAAGCACTTTAGGTTTCAGGAAATGTTCTTTAATTATTTTATGCTTGAATTTGTTTCCTCCATTGTCTCAGTCTTTTTCAGAACTCCTGTGTTCAAGTCGAGCCCCACCCCGCACGGTTCTCTGCCCTTTCGTTCTGTCCCCTGAAGAGGCCCTTATTTTTAACTCTTCTATTATAGTTTCATGTCTACCATCATGGGGTTTTTTTGTTTGTTTTTTTGTTAATCCTCACCTGAGGATATTTTTCCATTAATTTTTAGATAGAATGGAAAGGAGGGAGGGATAGAGGGAGAGAGAAACATCATGTGATAGAGACACATCAATTGGTTGCCTCCCCCATGACCTTGACCAGGGCCACGGATTGAGCCTGCCACCTAGGTACGCACTCCTGATCAGGAATCGAACCCGTGACCCTCCAGTCTGCAGGCTGACACTCTGACTGCCGAGCCAAACGGCCAGGGTTCTACCGCCATGTTTCTAATACCTTTTTCAGTTCTCTGAATACCCCTTTTTCATGACGGCTCGTTCTGTCTTCAGATGCAGTCTGTCATGTCTGTGAGAATGTTGATAGTTTTGGTTTTTCAGGGGTTTTCGGAGGTTGGAAGTGCGTGTTCAATATACACTGTTAACTTGGAAGCCTTCTGGGTGAACTACCAGAGCCTCCCTCCCCTTGACAGGCAGGAGTTACCTGCTTTCGGAGACAGCTCTGACTCAGAAGACAGGACACCAGGGAAAGAGGGGAAGGAGCCAGACAGTGACCGTTCAGAGAGCCGCAGAGAAGGCCAACGTGGCTGCAGAGACGAGGCGCTTAGCAGACACACAGGCCAGAAGGGCGCAGACTAAAGACAACTCTTGAAAATGAAAAATGATACCCAAAATAAACATTTCAATAAAAGAATGGGAAGGTAAAGCTGAGACTCTTCAGGAAGCGGAATCAAAGGGTCGAGATGAGTAACATGGGAAGAACTGTTAGAAACTGAATCAGCCCAGGAAGTCCAGCATCCTAAAAGGAGTTTTAAGCCCTGGCTGGTTTGGCTCAGTGGTTAGAGTGTCGGCCTCGGACCAGAGAGTCATGGGTTCTGTTCCTGCCAAGGGCATGTACCTAAGTTGCAGTTTGTCCCTGGCCCTGGTTGGGGTTGTGTGGGTGGCAACCACTTGATGTGTCTCTCTCACGTCGATGTTTCTCTCTCTCTCTTCCTCCCTCTCTCCCTCCTGCTCTATCTGAAGATAAATGCAAAAAACCAAAAATAAACAAAAAGGAATTTTAAAAAGAGAGGAAAGAACTTTGGTGGGGGAAGAAAGTGTGAAAGAAATAACAAGAAAATGTCCAGTACAAGTACAAATAATACAAGAAAATACAACCATGCAGTAGTTGAAGGACACGCACTTCTAGATCCCAGGAGCCTCCGAGTGTCCAGCTTGGTGTGCTGCCAAGTCGCTAGTGTGGGGCGTCCAAGTGCCAGGGGTGCGCCTTCGAGACAAGGGGAGTCCAGCACGGTAGGATCAGAGATCAGATGGCTAGTGTCTGAAACACCTTCAGAACTGAGAGGAAAGGATTTTCTCCCCAGCCAAATTGCCTGTCGAGGATGAGACATTTTTAGATACACGAGGATTCAGAGTTGCCTCCTATAGACCCTCTCAGTTAAACGCTGGGCACACGTGTTTCACCACAATGGGAGTAAAGTCAAGGAAGACAGAGAGTCCAGGAAACGGGACCTGTCTTGGGATCCTGGTCCCGGGAAGTCTGGGGATAGCACTGTGTAGCAGTGCTGAGAACATCCAGTCCCGATCCAAGTTGGGGAGCCAGAGGGCCCCAGCAGGAGGCTCTTTAGGGAGAGGGTGAATTGTCCTGGTGGACTGTTTGCATTTCTTTTTTTTTTTCTTTATTGATATTAGAGAGGAAGAGGGAGAGACAGAAACATCGATGAGAGAGAGCATCAATTGGCTGCCTCCTGCATGTCCCCATTGGGGATTTGGCCCACAACTGGGGCATGTGCCCTGACCAGGAATCGAACCAGCGACCTCTTGATGCACAGGTCGATGCTCGACCACTGAGCCACATTGGCCGGGCTGTTTGCATTTCTTTACGTAAAAGTTAATGAAGCATTGCTTCAGAGCTGTCAGAGTAAGTTCAGGAAGAATTAGTAATAGATACCAGAAGGTTGAGGGAAAGAAGCAGAAAAATTCAAATGCCAACATACTAAATTGAGCAAAAAGGGAAATGTCATAGAACTTTGGCTTGGTCACGAATAGTACTTGTGTAGTCGTAATAATTGTTGCAAATCAATTTTGACAAAGAATAAATAATGGTATTTGAGGGCACTGGGGAGGCGAGAAAGAGGCGGGGACGTGACTGAGCAGTAGACGACATGTGAGACTCACCAGGCAATGGAGGCACGGGGCCTGTTTGCGAGGGACGTGGCGGAGGTGCGGACAGTCAGGTGCTGCCAGAGCGGGCAGGGAGAGGCAGGGAAGGGGCCTTTGGGTGCTGCGCGGACTTGAACTGCCATACTTCGTTCAGTCTAAGATGCCAAGGGATGCAGGATGTGCTTATATTTTATTAAGCACATCTGAGGAAGAAAAACTACCAAATACACTAACGTGACTGGTTAGCCTATTTTCCAGTTTCAGAGATACTAAAATATGGAACGTCCCTTTAAGAAACAAGAATCATTGTAAGCGCATCTATTACTTTGATTAAAAAACATTCCTGCTTTATTATGGGTCTCTTTCTTCTCTAAGATCGATCTTCCTATGTGTACATATGTGTCCTGACTCTTGCTGTCACTCAGTCACTTCTGGGTCATGCTGAGAATGCGTCAGGAAGAGACTAGCACTCATACCACAGGTGTCACAGGCTGTCACTGAGACCCCAAGGCTTTCCTGCTCGGGAAGCTGGCGGATGCCCCCCACATTCCAGGCTCTTCCACCCTGTATCAGACACCACTTCCCAGCACCTCTGAATTAGTGCTGAGTGGCCAAGGACATTGTGGAGAGTCAAGTGCTAGGGGACACGCACGGTACCCCAGGGCTGCTGGGCTGTTTTCTGTAAGCTTTGGAACACAGAGGGGAGACTCTATTGGGTTACTGATTCCCGAAACACATGGAGAAAAGCTACGTTGTCTGAGAGGAAGAATGTATACCTGAGCAGGTCAGTGTGTTACTTGTTGGGGCTTCGTGGAACACTTGGCACATACTGAAGAAGTCAAAGAAGAAAAAATCACCCATATCTTGTGCATTTATTTATTTATATCTTCACCTGAGGACATTTTTTTGAGATAGAGCGGGAGGGAGAGAAAGGGAGGAAGAGAGAGAGAGAAACATCAATGTGAAAGGGACACATCAAGTGGCTGCCACCTGCATGACCCAGCCAGGGCTGGGGACAAACTGCAACCGAGATACATGCCCTTAGCGGGAACCGAACCCGGGTCTCTCTGGACCACAGGCCGACACTCTGACTATTGAGCCAAACAGGCCAGGGCAAAGCATGATTTTTTTTTTTTTTTATCCTCACCCGAGGACATTTTTCCATTCCTTGTTCAGGTAGAGTGGGAGGGAGAGAGAGGAACAGAGAGAGAGAGAAACATCGACGTGAAGGGACACATCGAGTGGCTGCCACCCACACAACCGACCAGGGCCGGGGACAAACTGCAACCGAGGTACGTGCCCTTAGCGGGAACCGAACCCGGATCTCTCAGGACCGCAGGCCGACGCTCTAACCACTGAGCCAAACCGGCCAGGGCAAAGCATGATTTTTAAAACCAACTTTAGTAAGGTATAATTTAGATACAGTGAAATTCATCAGTTTTGTTAAGTGTCAACAAAAGTCTCACAATAGAAGAATGTTTCGTTGCCTGGAAAGTCCTGTCCAGTCCTCCCTCCTTCCCTCTCAGCCATCACCGTTTGGCTGAAAGTGTGCTTTTTCATGGGGGTATCACTGGTTTTCCTGTGCAGAATGTACCTCTTTGGTTGGACTTGGGGTTCCTTCCTTCCTTCTTTCCATTACAAGCTGTGCTGAGCACTGGTGTCCATCGTGATGTGACCATTTCCATAGGCCATGTTCTTAGAAGTGGAGCTGTGGCTCATGTGACAGGAATCAAAAAATAACTCCTTAAATATCCTCGTGGGCTTTCTCTGGGTCTGAGACTACCTGCTCCGTGTCTCAGGCTGCCTGCTCCGTGTCTCAGGCTGCCTGCTCCGTGTCTCAGGCTGCCTGCTCCGTATTTGTGGCCTAAGGGAGGGTTAGAATCCCAGGACTTTGGTAGGAAACCTTAAATCAGTCTCAGCTACCTGGCAGTTTGTAGGTCTCCCTGTCCTTTGATGACCTTTGAAAGGACGTTTCCCTGGTGACCACTCTGCATAGTTTGTGCTCTTTTTTGAGGCTGGCTTAGTGTTGTTGACGAAGATTTTCTTTCAGATTCGTTTCTGGATATAACCACTTTAAAAAGGGAGGATATAGGTTTGTGGAATGAATGGCTAATTTCTGATGAATACTTCTTGGGTTGGTGTGGTTCTGCCTTGTTTTTTGCTATTGGGGTCAAGTGGCTGGCGTGTTAGCCGTCTTCTGTATTTGATTAATTAAATGGATTACAACGTGCATTTCTTCCTTTGCCTTTTACAGGTGGAAGAAATTAGAAACCCACGATGTTGTAATAGAGTGTGCCAAAATCTCTCTGGACCCTACAGAAGCCTCGTATGAAGATGGCTATTCTGTGTCTCACCAAAACTCAGCCCGCTTTCCTCCGCGTTCAGCCGATGTCACCGCAAGCCCTTTTGTTGACATGCAGAATAGCTATGGTAAAGGGACTTGGGTACTTCCCTGCCTTCCCACATAGTCCCTGGAAAGCACTGTTGATTTTTGCTGACTTTATTTTTCTTTTCCTAAAATAAGACTTAGTTCAGCTCCTAGGAGCTGGTACCCAAATATTTAAAATTTGAATTTGCTTCCTGATTAATTCCTCCAAGTTTAATTTAGTCTCATGCCCTTGATCTCCTACCTGATCATATGCCGGCAGATTTGATGTATCTTCAGTGCTTAAAAAAGAAAATGGATATGAATATTTGACTTTATAAGGGAATCTCTGTACTTTTCAGACACTTGTGGTGGGGCGCTCTGGGCTGCAGCACTTATGTGGACAAGTCAGGGTGGTTTGGAATCGGGTCGATGTAAAGTCTGGGCTCGTCTGTGGGCTGCACCCACTGAGGTCTGATCCCGGTCGTGCCTTCTCCAGTTCCCCTGATGCCAACTAGATGGCAGACTTCTCTGAACTTGTGTCCCCAAGGATGTCAAGGTCCCCTCAGATATTTTTTAAATATAAGGAACTGTATATAATTGAAGGTCTGTCTAGAAGACTATACTTTTAAAATTTATTACTTTTATTGAGAGAAAGAAACATTGATTTGTTTTTTCCACTTATTTATGCATTCATTGGTTGCTTCTTGTATGTGCCTGGATCGGGGATCAAATCTGCAGCCTTGGCATATTGGGATGATGCTCTAACCAACTGAGCTGCCTGGCCAGGGCTAGATGACCATAATTCAAAAAAAATCCTCACCCAAGGACATGTTTAGAGAAAGAAGGAGGAGGAGGAGGAGAGAGAAACATCGATGTGAGAGAAACATCGATTGGTAGCCTCCTATATGCACCCCGACTGGGGATCAAGCCCACAACATAGGTATGTGCCTTGACTGGGAATCGAACCTGAAACCTTTTGGTGTACAGGACAACATTCCAAACAACTGAGCCACCCTGCCAGGGTAGACGAGCAGTTTCGTTGTTTATTTGTCAGAATAATCAAAGCCACACACTGGTGCTGTGTACTCTTTTCTGTCATCGTAGGGAGCATGACCTCCACCCCTCACCCTGCTTCCCGGCCGGTGTCATCCAGCACGCCGGGGCAGCTACCTCCGGCTCTGAGTTCCCCTGCGACACGGCTGTTACCTGAGCCACCACAGGTATGTGTCCAATAGTGTGCCTGCTTTCTTCCCTGCTCATTGCTGAAGCTGACTGCTCGGGTCAGGGTTTAGCATATGGTCCGGGAAAGTGTCCCACCGCTCATTTCAGGGAGAGTTATTTTTAAGGATGTGTTATATCAGCAAAACCCACTCGGGTTTTTTTCTTGGAGTCTAGACTTACAAAATGCAGCCTGGCGGTTGATCAAGTTTTAATAAGATGCCTTTTCCCACTTTGAAGTGACCATCAGTCATGGACGTAAGCTTTGGGTGATTGGTGTTCATTCCTCATGGCTGACAAGACTTACTGACTTCCCAGGCTACTCTCTGGAGCCCCTCTGTGGTCTGTGGCATGACCACTCCTCCCACGTCTCCTGGGAACGTCCCGTCTGATGCGTCCCACCCTTACAGTAAAGTCTTTGGTGCCACTGGTATGTATGTCCCAGGCAGGATTTGGTTGGTGGGTTTGGGCCTGCCTTTCACCACCTGGAACGGTCTCTTAGACCTGACAGTGAGTTTGGGGACTTGCAGCAGTAAACTTGATGTTGACACTTAATGCAAACCTCTGGGCTTCCAGAACTCGTAAAGGGAACAACAACAACAAAAAGACTGGCCTAGATCCCCTAAAAGTTAACTCTAGCCTATTTTTTTGCAGTAATAGGCTGGAAATAATTTGGCAGCTTTTCTAATAATTGGGCTCAGCGACTGTGTGTTCTGTCTTTGTCTCTGAGCAGGTGGAAAAGGAACTCCCTTGGGAACCCCAGCAACCTCTCCTCCTCCAGCCCCACTCTGCCATTCAGATGACTGCGTGCATGGTTCGCTCCCACACCCCACAGCCACACACCCCCGGAAGGTATGCTGGGCGTGGCTGCCGCCCTCTGCCCAAGTGCAGTGTCCGCTCACACGCTCAGCCAGATGGAACCAGATATCAAACCAGATAGAACTGGGACCTAAAGTGTGATGGGTTTAAGCAGAATGATTGAAAATAGACTAACCAGCAGCCCTCCGAGTATGATCAGCTGACTCAGGGTCCTGAAGCCTAACTCAGGGGATCCACTGGGTCCGAAGTGCTTTCACAGTAACACCAAGCTGCCGTTTGCCCCTCGACTGTGATGAACTCACAGTGTAGGAACAGCGGTGGGTGCACGGCTGGCCCCTTAGCACGAATCACAGCTGGCGCCTGGCTGTCCTGGTAGGCGTTATCTTTTTCTTCCTGGACGTCTTTTTTCAGTTTAAAAGAGGAAAACAAACCAAAAAACACTTAACGTAAGAGAGTTCTGTGGAAGGCAGTGAAAGTGAAAAATTTTATTAAATCTTGGCCCCTGGGTACATGTATGTGTAATATTCCTTGTGATAAAAAGGAGATGCACACACAGCACTGTACTGCACACCAGGTGCGCTGGTGATCTCAGGCCTGCGCAGGTGTCTTTGCTGAGCGCCGCTTTCCGTCACGGGGCACAGTTGTGTTTCAGAGAACAGCTGACTGGCACACTGGCTGTTCCGGCCTGAGTACGTGAGTTTGTCACTTCAAGATAAACAGCTACTGTATTTGTTGCCAATGATAAAATTCAACTCTCAGGTGAAGTTAGAATATTAAATACTGGCTTCTGTCACCACAGCTCGGTAGCTTCCCCTAGACTTTTATGATGAGCTTGGAATGTCTTGGGAAGCTTGGTTAGTATTTGAGTTTTCAGTATCATGTAGTGAAATGTTTCAACATATCTGCATAACTTGGTGAACCAGTGTTTTCTAAATGCCCAAAGTCTGATGCTGTGGACGCGTGCATGGGTGAAGGGGGCATGCAGGGTCCAGGGCAGCCCAGTGGGTGACACACCGCGTGGGAAGTGAGTTGCTGTGCCTTCAGATTTTACACTGGACCTAACCTTGAGAGGTAACCCTTGTCAGGTGGGGGTGTAACATCAAAGATGGTCATCCCGGTTATCCGCAGTCTGTTAACATACATTTACTTCTTACCACTGCTTATCTGTGGGGCCCAGAATTGCCTTCATGTGCTTTAGCCAGAATACCATACTGCAGCAGATTGGACGCAGAGGCAGACAGGAGAACCCCGCTTTCTTCCGTTCAGCCAGACATCAAAGAGGTCGCAAACTGTGACACGCTCCACTCTCCTCGCTCTTTCATTTCTGTTTTGGGAAATATAGGGTTTTTTCCCCCCATAAAAATACATGTTATTTATTTACATGTAAGGGGTTTGTTATTTTTAAGTGCATTAATGAATATTTTTTAAACTTCTCTTTTAATTCCTAATCTAGTAACTATTACTATATATCACCACATAAATAAAAAATCTTGGGATTCCTCAATAATTTTTAAGAATATCAAGGCATCCTGAGACCAAACAGTTTGAGAATCCTTGGGCTAACCTTTGAACTCCTTTATAATCTGCTAAAAATGTAGCTGTTTGGCATAATTCCCTTACACCCAAGAACATGCACTCAGCCTTGCCGTGTGATGTAAACCTGTCTTTTCAGGAGGAGAGAACAGATTCGGCCAGGCCCTGTCTGCACAGACAACACCATCTTCCCAACGACCGAGGACCAGGTAAAGGCTCTGGGTGACAGCAGAGCTCGCGTGTCCCCTCTTGCTGAGTTGCATGTGGAGAGAGGGCAGTTCTGGAATACTGCAGAACCCTGAGGCCTGGAGGAACGAAACGTGTGCTCAGTTATGAAAGCCAGCCTAGTCATAGCAGACCGCCGTCAGCTGCTGTAGTGAGGGCCTCGTGTGTTGAGCTGGCCGGGCGGGTTTTATCTGTTCTCTGCGAGTGAGGGAGAATTTTCTCCGGTGGGTTAGTTCTGGTGCCTTTTGTTGGAGCACTGACAGCAGCTCAGCTCGCAGGAGCCCCGGGAGAGCCAGCCCCCGCCTGCCTGCGCAGCGCGGAGCCCCTCCGTGATGTGGGGCACTGCGCGGCGGTGGCGGTCTGTCTCCGTGTGTCTCTGACTCGGGCTGTCTGTCTCTCTAGAGCAGCTCTCTGGCAGCAAAGGCCCTGTCTCTCTGACCGACCTTCCAGGGTTTCTGGGCGGCCTGTCCTCCGAAGAAGACAGCGCGGAAAAAGACCGAGAGGAAGGTGCCGTCTGGGGTCCTGGGCTTGACGGGGCTGTGGGATGATGAAACCCTGAGACTGGGTTCAGTGTGCATGCTCCCAGACTCGCTGGGTGTGTCTTCTCTTGGGGGGAAAGAGATGGGAGTTTTATTCTGGTCCAGTTTTATTCTGGCTGCCCCTCCTCAGATGGCCTGTTGACCTCTGTCTCTCTCTCTCCTCAGCGGCAATATCTAAAGAGCTTTCTGAGATCACGGTGCCTGACGCTGAGCCTCTGGTTCTTCGAGGAGGCTTTGACTCCCCCTTCTACCGGGAGGGTCTCCCGGGCTGTCTAAGGAAGACCCCGTCAACTGCCTCCGCTCAGGGCGCCGATGCACACCCCGAGCCTTCAACCTCCTCCCTGGACAAGCTTGGGCCTGACACACCAAAGCAAGCCTTTACTCCCATAGAGCGGCCCTGTGGGGGTGCTGACGAGGGCCCTGCCGGGAGCAGGGAGCGCCAGACCCCTCTGGACACCAGTATCCTCACTCCCAGCCCTTGTAAAATTTTGTCTCAGAGGGGCCCGAACTTTGGAAGTGGGCAGCCTTACCCCTACGATCATCTTTTTGAGGTGGCATTGCCAAAGACTGCCCATCATTTTGTCAGCAAGAAGACCGAGGAACTATTAAAGAAAGCTCGAGGAAATGCAGAGGAAGACTGTACACCCTCTGCCTCCCCGCTGGAGGTACTGGACAGGCTGATCCAGCAGGGCGCCGACGCGCACAGCAAGGAGCTGAGCAGGTAAGGCGCCGCAGGCTTCCACAGCGCCAGTTGTGGAGTCGGAACATGGGAGGGCCCAGATGGTTGTGCTCCATCCACGGGCTGCTGCTCCTGTTTGGACGAGCCTGCAGCCTGCTGCCTTTTCATACGCTAGACTTGCACCCTGGCGCAGGGTGAGCGTTCCCTGAATGCTTATTATTAGTGACATTTGCTAATGTGACACTTGGTAACCCTTGAGCTAAAGCCCATGTAGACAGTAGCGAGCTGTCAGGTGTCCTCTAGACTTGCACATTGAGCTGGAGCAGCCCCAACCTGATGTCCCATTTTAACACGGGTCTTTCTGCTTACACGCAGGCCGTTTGTGCCGCTGCACCCTGAGGGCGCTCAAAGGCTTCCACACTTGCTCTTGGAATCGGAGGGTGAGGTTAGGGCATTTCAAATACGGGAGTATTTGTACAGTGTCCCTCTCTGTCCAGCTGTAGGTGGGTTTTGTTTGGTAACATAGTTCATTAGGTGGACAGCCTTGCAGTCCGAGTTCAGGTGGTCCCCTCTCCCAGGACGGCGCACGTGGTTCCTTAGAAAGAAATCTGTCTGAGACACTTTTCAACTTTTATTTTTTAATTTTTTTCTCTTGTCTTTAATCTTTCTTTTATTATCCTTTTCAAAGGATATCCAAGGAAGGGTTAAGGGAAGTTGGACTCCTCTGCTGTTTCTCAACAGGTTCTTGGGGAGTGTTTGTTTTCATTTTTCTCTGTATAATAATCTAAGGTAGAATTTGAAAGAGATGGTACTATTTCAGATTTCTTTTTAGGTTGATTTTAGAAAGGGAGGAGGGGGGAGAGAGCGACATTGATGTGGGAGAGAAACATCGAATGGTTGCCTCCCATATGCACCCCAACCTAGGTATGTGCCCTGACCGGGAATTGAACCCGTGACCTTCCAATGCACAGGCTGATGTTCTGACCAACTGAGCCACACTGGCCAGGGCTAAGATCTCTTTTTTAACGAAATTCAGTGTAATAGGCCCAGGTAAATTACCGACATTTTCCTTAAACTTGGGTGACAGGAGCTTCCAGCCCAGAGCTCTTCCCCTGTATTTCAGTAGAGAGGGTTGAAAACAGGCAGCTCTCAGTGTGTTTGGTCACCAGTCACCTTGGCGAGCTGAACGCAAAACACACAGGCTGCAGAGTGAGCTCGGCGTTGGGCCTTCCCACGCCAGACTTGGGCGCGCGCCCTGGGGCACCAGCCCTCGCTTGGGCTCCAAGGCTGACTTCGTGCAGACTTGGAGTCGGAGCCTTCCTTACACCACAGGAAGTGAGCTAACCTTGCTGCAGTGAAAATTCCAGGGACGTCTTTTCTAGGTGAGATCGGTAACTTTGTGATTCAAAACTTTCTTCCTAGGTTGTCTTTACCCAGCAAGTCTGTCGACTGGACCCACTTTGGAGGTAAAGTTGTTACTTTAGCTCCAAATCCAGCCCACAGGGATCCTGCTTGCTTGTTGTCTTTTCTGTCCTTGAGGGAGGTGCCCCATAGGAAACAAATCTCCCCTTTGCTACTGTTCCAGCTGCTTTATCTATCTGCTTAGCTAAAGAGTATCTCAAGTGTTGCAAAGTCAGCATTTCCTATTTTTTAAAAGTGGCGAAGACCATGCACTTCTCAGTTGAATTGCAAAAAGTGCAGATCTCATGCCAGGCTTCCCTAGGCGGAGCCCCAAGTGAACTAAATGGGACTGGGAGAGTGAGTTCTTGAGGGAAAACATACCAGGAAAGGAAGAAAAGGAATCTTAAAAGTGTATGTGTATGGTTCCAGTTTGTGGGGGAAAATGAATGCTCTAAAGAGCCACCCCGCATCGTGCCATTGCGATCCTTTAAAAGGGAGGTAGGCGGTGAATACTCCGCTGTCTCCTAACAAGTGACTAGTACTGGGAGCCAAGCGGTCGTTTGCCAAGTGAGCGGCAATTTGTTTCTTAAAGAATTCATTTCTTAAGCTAACAGACCATGGGCGGGGCGTGATTGAACGATATGTAAGAGGCATCTCTGCCATCCTCCCTCTGCTTTAAATCAGGCTCTCCTCCCTCAGATGAGATCCGCACCCTCCGTAACCAGTTGCTTTTACTGCACAACCAGTTGCTCTATGAGCGTTTTAAGAGGCAGCAGCACGCTGTCCGGAATAGGCGGCTCCTCCGCAGGGTGATCAGAGCAGCGGCTCTGGAGGAGCACAACGCGGCGATGGTGAGCACTGTGGGGTGGGCGGCGGGGGTGCGGGTCATTTGTTGTCTGCAAAGAGCAGCCCTGAGTTGAATCAGAGGTCCCCATCCTTTCTCTGCTCACTGGTGTGGCTTGGGCAGGCCACTTTGTCTCTGAGGTTAACACATGAGTGGCTGTGTCTCTGAACTCCCTTGTAGCTCTTGGAAACTATGGGGACAGCGGATTTTTGTGTGTGTTTGTAATTGGTTGTGATGATAACAGGATCGAAAGATTATTTTGTTAATCCAAACCAGCTCTCCTGGTTTTACGGCCAAAAACGAGTGGCACAGTTGTGAAGCCAGTTAGACCTGGAGATTGGACCTTAGCTCTGCCATTTAAGAAAGTACGTTCGCTTCCTGAAACCTGTCACCTGGTCTATAACATGAGAGGAGTCATAGCACTTGCTAGTGCCTGGCAGCGTGCGTGTTCCCTATGTTCATCACTAGTGACCTTTGCTGATGTGACACTTGGTAACCCTTGAGCTAAAGCCCACGTAGACAGTAGTGAGCTGTCAGGTTCTGAGCCTGTGGTTACAGTTACAGGGTAGCTGAGACTGCAGATGAAATATTTGCGTTCAAACTTGAGTGTCACTGCCCATGTTGAAAGGCAGCTAAAATGATGACATCTTTGGTCTCTGCTAGAAAGACCAGTTGAAGTTACAAGAGAAGGACATCCAGATGTGGAAGGCCAGTCTGCAGAATGAACAAGCCAAGTACAGCCAGCTGCAGGAGCAGCGAGACACAGTGGTCACCCAGCTGCACAGCCAGATCAGACAGCTGCAGCATGACCGAGAAGAGTTCTACAACCAGAGCCAGGAACTACAGGTATGAGCTGCTGCTACAGGCTGTCCACCCGAGAGGGCACGGAACACCCTGTTCAGCTTGCTGGAGATGAACCCTTTCCTGTCTGAAACTGAGGCCGGTGGGTCTCATGGCAGGTACTTTACATCTAAGGCGGAAGTCACCAGCTCTCTTGGTTCATAGCTCCCTCAGTGTTTCAGTGACGTTTTCCTGGCACTCCACAGCCAAGACAAGTACGTGGACGTTCTGCTGATTAAGTAGATCTAAACAACTTAGGGAGTACCTGTCCTGACAACTTAGTAGCTGTTAGAAATAATACACCTCAATTCACACATTTTTAAATTCCTTTTATTTTTTTTCAAAATTATTTTTCTTTATTGATTTTAGAGAGAGAGGAAGGGAGAGGGAGAGAGAGATAGAAACATTGATGAGAGAGAACATTGATTGGCCGCCTCCTGCATGCCCCCCACTGGGGATTGGGCCCACAACTCGGGCATGTGCCCTGACTGGGAATTGAATCGGCGACCTCTAGGTGCATGGTTCGACGCTCAGCCACTGAGCCATACCGTCTGGGCTTAAATTCCTTTAGAAATGACACAGTTGTTTGCCAATGCTGTGTGTACCTCTTGGGCACTGCACAGAGTGGCAGACCCTGGAATCACCCTCATTTTCTGTTTCACTGGTTTTCGCCTGGTGGTTTTTATCACATTGACCTCCTGAAGCGCAGCTTTGCAAAGAGATGACATCCACAGGAAGGGACACCTCACCGAAACTGTCCTCCAACCTGCAGTGCACGCGATGACCAGCAGATGTCACTGTATTTCCCTCAAAAATAAGACATCCCGCAGCTTTCCTGGGAGTTTACTGGGTAGCCCCAGGGCTCTTTGGTGAGGTTTATGAACTGGGGGGCTAAGACCTTCCCCCCTCTGCTAAACAAATCAGGAACGCAGAAATCCACCATAACATAATTTTTTAAGCTAAGAATTAGTTTCTGATGGGTCACTGAGGAACCAGGTTCCGGTGGTTCCCTGGGGGCAGGCCTGCGGGTGCTCTGACCACGCTGTCTCTCGGACAGACAAAGCTGGAGGACTGCAGGAACATGATTGCAGAGCTGCGCCTGGAGCTGAAGAAGGCCAACAGCAAGGTGTGCCACACTGAGCTGCTGCTCAGCCAGGTGTCTCAGAAGGTAAGGGGTGCGGCGAGCTGGGGCCATCACTCCCACCACCGCGGATGCATTTCTTGTGTGTCTATGTGAGGGGTTCCCAACAGGGAGCAAGGGCCCCTCCCTCCCAGGGACAGTTGGTGAGATCTGGAGACATTCGTGGTGGTACTGACATGGAGTGGCAGCTGCCGGGTGCTGCGAACACCCTTGTGCCTAGGACGGTCTCCACAGCAGGGCACCGCCTGGCCTGGGCCCTCATCTGTGTCCTGGGGACTCTTTCTCACACCTTGTTTGCATAAATGTGCAAAGTTTGTTCAGAGTTTTAAGCTGTGGTCCCTCTTTGGGATTCATCGCACTGCTAGAAATCACTTCGTCAAGAACGGGTGAGTTCTGGGGCTTGATCCCCCGGACCGAATGTCCCTGCTGTGGCCCCGCACATCCACCTTCTCCAGGTGTCCTGGCGTGGCCACCTTTGGTGTGGCACACTGGTACTTCATCCCCTTTGCCGCCCCATTTTGAGGTGTGCTTCTGTTCATTTTCATCGCCTGTGCGCACCAGCCTGTGCGAGGGAGTTGTGGGCTGCCCTCGCACCGAGACGGTGTGCTCCTAGCTTGCTCCCCGGGGCGCCTGCCAGCTGTGTGGTCGGGTCTGTCACTGCTTGTTCCTGTGTTTGGTCAGCTCTCCAACAGTGAGTCGGTCCAGCAGCAGATGGAGTTCCTGAACAGGCAGCTGCTGGTTCTCGGGGAGGTCAACGAGCTGTATTTGGAACAACTGCAGAACAAGCATTCGGACACCACAAAGGTAGGTGGGGCGTGGGGCTAGGCCCTCGCTGGGCCGTGGAGCACGGCGGTGTGACTGCGCAGCTCACAGAGTGGCTCTGAGTCGTTCCCTGCGAGCCGGGCTGTGGTCCTCGTGTCCCTCTGTACCTCTCCCGCCCAGCGGTGCAAGCACTCCCAGGCGTCACGTGAGCCCGTCTCCCTGGCTCGGTGACTGAGGCTGGGTCAGGTGTCGGTGAAAGCGCCAGTGGCGGCTGGTGCCAAGGCGGTGATGCAAGTGCTCTCCTTTCTGTGGAGGGCGGGGTAGGCAGAGGGGCCAGTTCTGTTTCACGTAACCCAGGACTGTGTGGAGGGCTGGGGTGCCCGCTTTCCTTCCTGGCCACGAGGCTGGCAACGGACGCTCTTACGTTAATTAGTGCCTCGCCAGTGGCGTTGAGACAGAAGTTTTATTCACTTCATAAGTAGCCTCGGGTAATGTTAGTGAGAGGGGGTGGGGCTTTAGTGGCGAATGCTCAGATGTCTCCGCCTTGCCCGGGCTTCCTGTGCAGGAGCGCTGTGCTCGAGCTCCGTGAAGCGTCGTTCCCGCCAGATGCAGAGGGTGGTCTCAGACCAGGGAGGCGTAGTTATGGGGTTACTCCGTACTCCTCGGCTCCTCAGCTCTCAGGTCATACACTTTCCAAAGGGTGTTAAATGGGACTTTCTCTAGAAACCAGCTATTGCTTATTTGGAAAGTGTAATGGCCTTGGATAAAGGAGGAGGGGAAACAGAACTGTGGGACAAGAGAACCTCTGCAAAGTTTACTCGAGTGCATCCCTGATGGCTCCCGAGAGAAGCACCGATGGAGTGGCTTCTCTGGCTGTCCTGTGGTGTGGACACTGTGCTCCTGGGGCCTCGAGCAAGCCCACTGTCCCGTTGAGCTGTTCACGGCTCACGCTCCTGGTCACAGGGCGCCTGCAGTTGTGCGCAGCAACAGAAACACTAAACTGGCCTGGCCGGGTGCTCGGTGGTCAGAGCATCGTCACCTGCACCAGAGGGTCGTAGGTTGGATCCCGATCAGGGCACATACCCAGCTTGTGGGTTTGATCCCTGGTAGGTGTGCATGGAAGAGGCAACCAACTGATGTTTCTCACATTGATGTTTCTCTCTCTTCCTCTCCCTTCCCCTCTCTCTAAAATCAATAAAAACATATCCTCGGGTGAGGGTTGAAAACACAAACAAAAACAGTGAACTGGCTTAACAATAAGTCATTTCATTATTTCACTTGAGAAGAAGTCCCGAGGCAGGCGAGTTCTAGGTTGGTCAAGTCAGCAACGTAGGGACACCATCTGGGAGTCTGGCTCTTTCCACTTCTCTCTCTCCTGGCCTATCCCGTCAGCCTTGCCCTTGGGCTAGCTGTTCTCCTGGTTGGGAGGTGTGTGCCAGTTACCACTGCCCCAGGTGGATGCGCTGATGTCCCATGGGAGGGGACAGTTCCTGTGGTCTCTGCAAGGAAACCTTTCCAGGAACCATCCCGACACTTCCACCCTCGTTACTGCCAGGGTTGTGCTGCGTGTCCACCTGTAGACAGCCGTTGCCTTGTGCCGGCAGGTACCAAGAGCGAGGCTTCTTGGTGTTCGACAGGTGGGGAATGGCCGAAGCGGGTGCCGCGCCTGATGTGGTGGCTGGAGGGTGGGTGAGCCCGTGGGCGTGCCTGGCTCAGTGCCGTTGCTCCATGATCACTGCAGTCACTGCGACCACGGTTTGGTCTGTTCCCCCGCCGGGAGCTGGCGTCTGGAACTGTGAGGCACAGCTGGGAGGCCGGGTCATCTGGGGTCCCGTCAGTCTATCGCATCCCACACTGAGGAGACGCCGGTTTTACCAGTCGTCCTGGAGGCTGGGGCACCTTTGTGGAAGCCCCTGCCTGCCTCTCACGTCTTACTACTTTTTTAGAAAGTGAACGTGGTCAATTTTGTTACGCGTATTTTACCACAATAAACACAATGCAAGTATAACACATGCTTATTAGGAGAGGATCCTTCCCCATCTTTTCTGAGCATTAGTGTTCACCTCCTCTGGGGTTTCAGCCGGCTGGCCAGACACTGGCCTGGCGTGAGCAACAGGCTGTCAGGGCACCTCGTCTTCAGGAGCTGCTTTGCTGGAGAGACCTGCTCGTTCTGTTGGGCTCTCCAGCTGAGGAACTGGAGAGAGACACGGCCCACCATCCCCTGTGCTGAATCGATAGAGAAGGTTGGCATCTCCTCCTTCGGTGCTTTGTGATTGTGATCACACTGTCTACGTGCTTTTGTAGTCTGCTTTATTATCTCTTACTGATGCATGGCGTTTTTAAAAACATACAGATATAAGATGTACTTTTTTTTTTTAATCTGCACCCGAGGACATTTTCCCATTTTTGTTCAGATAGAGTGGGAGGGAGAAAGAGGAACAGAGAGAGAGAGGGAGAGAGAAAGAGAGACAGAGACATCAATGTGAAAGGGACACATCGAGTGGCTGCCTCCTGCATGACCCCAACCAGGGCCGGGGACGAATCGCAACCGAGCTACGTGCCCTTGACTGGAGTCGAACCCGCGACTCATTGGTCCGCGGGCCGATGCTCCAACTGCTGTGCCAAACCAGCCAGGGCAAGATGTACTTTAATTCACTTAACTATTTCCCTGACATTAGACCTCACAGTGTTTCTAGTTTGCATTTCTAAATATGTTGTGATGGTTCTTTTTTTGCCAAAATGCTTGAAATGATTTCCTTCAGGATAGATTTCAAGGCAGGGTTCCTAGGTTAGCACTTCCTGTAAGCTCATTTCTCCGAACGCTGCGCCACAGTCCTTCCTACCCACAGCACGCTCTGGCCCTCCCTCCCTGGGAGCCACGGCCCTCCCCTCCCTCGGAGCCACGCCCCCCGGAGCCACGGCCCTCCCCTTCCTCGGAGCCACGGCCCTCCCCTTCCTGGGAGCCACGGCCCTCACCCCCCGGAGCCACGGCCCTCCCCTCCCTCGGAGCCACGGCCCTCCCCTCCCTCGGAGCCACGGCCCCCCCCCAGCCACGGCCCTCCCCTCCCTCGGAGCCACGGCCCTCCCCTCCCTCGGAGCCACGGCCCTCCCCCCCCTCGGAGCTCCAGTCCCTTCTCAGTGCTCTGACCCTGGTTGCTGCACAGCATGGCTCTGTTGTAGGAAAGCACTGACCCAGCCCCTCTTTCAGGAAGTGGAAGTGATGAAAGCCGCGTACCGGAAGGAACTAGAGAAGAACCGAAGCCTTCTGCTCCAGCAGAGTCAGAGGCTTGACACCTCCCAGAAGCGGATTCTAGAACTGGAATCTCAACTGGCCAAGAAAGACCACCTTCTCCTGGAACAGAAGAAGTATTTGGAGGACGTCAAACTGCAGGCGAGGTAACTCCGGTCGGGAGCGGTTCTCGGGCGACGTGCTGTGTGGATGGGGCCCACCCTCCTGCTGGTCTGTCTTCCAGAGGACAGCTGCAGGCCGCCGAGAGCAGGTATGAGGCTCAGAAAAGGATCGCCCAGGTGTTTGAGTTGGAGATCTTGGATTTGTACGGCAGGTTGGAGAAAGACGGCCTCCTGAAAAAGCTTGAAGATGAGAAAACAGAAGCGGCAGAAGCAGCAGAAGAAAGGTAGGAACAGAGGGTTGGCACCACTAGCAGAGCAAGGACAGCATGACGAGCATTAGAAGTGCTTGCAGCACGCGGCTCTGTGTGCTGCAGAGAGCCCGCCTGACGCCCCTTTCCTCAGTGCCCAGCGGCCTCTCCATGTCCCTTTCCCTGGGCCCCCAGCCCCTGATGTGGTCCCAGGAAGTGCCCGTAGTTACGACTGCACCTAACAACCCTGTGCCTAGGCGTCTCCTGGTGAGAGCGCATGCTCGAGTCCTCTGTTACAAAACATGGAGCAGTCTGGCTGAGGTCAGTGTCTGTGAGGACCCCACGCCTCCCAAACACGGACGCACAGTCACCACCTGCTTTTCTCCTCCCTGGTTTATTGCAGGCTTGACTGTTGTAATGACAGCTGCTCGGATTCTGTGATAGGGCACAGAGAAGAGGCATCTGGCCACAACGGTGAGACCAAGGCCCCCAGACCTGGCAGCACCCGGGGCAGTGGAGGAGGCCGAGGAGGTGGGGGCAGCAGCAGCAGCAGCCAGCTCTCCACCCCCGAGAAACCCCCAACCCAGAGGGCAGGCCCGTTCAGCAGTCGGTGGGAAACCGCCATGGGTGAGCTCTCCACCAGCATCCCCACGACTGTTGGCTCGCTTCCCAGTTCTAAAAGCTTCCTGGGCATGAAGGCTCGAGAGTTATTTCGTAATAAGAGCGAGAGCCAGTGTGATGAGGACGGCGTGACCATCAGTAGCCTTTCTGAGACGTTAAAGACAGAACTGGGCAAAGACTCGGGTGTAGAAGTCAAGACTCCCCTGAACCCTGACGGCCTGCACCCACCTCCCCCGAATCCGGACAGTGTTGGACAGCTCCGTATCATGGACTACAACGAGACTCATCAGGGACACAGCTAAGGGTGGTGGCCAATCAGTGTTAAATTGCGTGCTGCTGGTGTAGACCAGGAGGTGTGGATGCCGTTTCCCAGCTTCTTGTGTCCAGGGTTTGAGTGGCTGGCTCAGGCGGCGGAGGTGGGATGGAGGGCCTTTGGACAGCTTACTGGATGCTGAAGGGTTTTGGGATCTGGCATTGAAATGCCTCAGCACGCCCCCCCCCCCCTCCCATCGACCTAGCAGTGTGTACTAACCGAGGGCCAGTTTGCATTCCTCCGTAGCTTTATTTTCTTCCTTCCCCTCAAGGTTGCATCCTTTGAACCAGTGCAATATGAGGCCAAACTTCTCTTTGAGTATAACACAGAGCTGGGCTGGCTCTCGTACCCAGGTCACGGTGGCACTGCAGGTAACGCTGTCTGCCCTACACGAGGCAGCATGCTAGGCTGAGACCTCGCGAGCGCTTTTACGGGGGACTTTCCCTGCTCTGGGTTCTGAAGTTCAGCATCTGAAGCAGTGGTCTAGGAAACGGTGTTCAGCCCCCTTACGTTCTTCTGGCAGTTCCGGTGAGCTTCCTAGGACGTGCTGTGTGAGCAAGGCTGTTGTCGGGCAGTTCCGGTGAGCTTCCTAGGACGTGCTGTGTGAGCAAGGCTGTTGTCGGGCAGTTCCGGTGAGCTTCCTAGGACGTGCTGTGTGAGCAAGGCTGTTGTCGGGCAGTTCCGGTGAGCTTCCTAGGGCGTGCTGTGTGAGCAAGGCTGTCGGGCAGTTCCGGTGAGCTTCCTAGGACGTGCTGTGTGAGCAAGGCTGTTGTCGGGCAGTTCTGGAGCTGGCATCGTGGGACCGCCGTCCTCTTTGGGACCACCGTCCCCTTCCCCACTACCTCTTATTTATTTGGTGTTTTCTCGAAAGCTGGTACTGGTCTGACCACAGGCTGGTGTGGGGAGTAAGCCTGCTGTCTGCAAAACGGAAGGGTGGTGGCGTGGGCAGTGACCCGAGAAACAGGTGTGGATGAGGAGCTGCCCTCCAGGCGGGGCTGCCGGCGGTGCCTGTGTGTCCAGGCGCCGAGCGTCAGCTCTGTGGCGTTGCAGCAGGAAGGCTCTGAGGGCCAGAGAGTTTCTTCAGAGTTTACGTGACCGTTGGCTCAGGCTGTCAGAGCTGCCTCACTAAAGGAGGTTCTAGGCCACCAAAACGTAGGAGCTTGTTACCAATCCTGACTTTCAGTGGCTGACTCCCTGGGGAGGCGATGCGGCTGCCCTCCCACACGTTAGTGATGGCAGAGCGTTTTCCAGCCGGGTCCTGGAGATGCCGACAGGGTCTGGCGGCCGGGGACCCACGGGCTGCTGCACAAGTGTGCTCAGGAGCGGTGACACCGGCCAGGACACTGCAGTGGCAGAGAGCCAAACTCGGCAGATGCTCCTGAAATAAAAGCCAGAGCCTAAGAACGCTCGGCTGATGCTCCCGCGGAGGCGAGGAGACTGCTGTCCCTTTCTGGCCTCTGAGTTTAGTCCAGCGGGTTCAGCCCGAGGAGGAAACGACGCACTGTGACAGGAAAGGGCCCGCTGCCCACCGGAGCCTCCAGCTGAGGGTGCAAGTCTTTCTTAAAGTGTGGCCATAAGTATCCTGGCAGCCCTCAGCAAAGGGCCAGAGGAGGAGAGGCTCCGTGTCCCCACGGCCGTGTGGGCAGACTCCCAGGACGGGTTGCAGGCGGGTCGCTGCCCTGTTGTGGGGTGTCCCACGTGGAGTTCATGCCGCCTGTTTTTACCTGTGTCCAAAGCAAAGCTGAGAGTCAGATGCGTTCTAGTTGCCTAGTTCAGATCTAGAAAAACAGCTCCAGAGAGAAGCAGTGTCACGGGGAGCTGTGGAAACCGTACTGTGGGAACCTGCTCTGAGTGCTGACCCCGCCCCAGCCCAGGACACACCGGGCGCTTTAGCTGCAGCGTTTTCTGACCGGCAGGGCAGGGGCCCCTGGAAGGACAGGGACGGCTCTTAAAACGGGCAGATTGCAAAGCTGCAGGGACGGAGGAGAGGAGGCTGTGTGGTGAAGTGGGCTGAGGCCTGGGCGTCCGCCCGCTCACCGGAACCACGGCTGAGCCCTTGGAACTGTGCTCAGACTCCTGGGTTCTGGGGGCCTGCAGTCACGCTGGGTCACCCAGCACGTGGCCTGACATTGACCAGGGTGGGCACAGACCTGAGAAGACGAGGCTGCTGCTGGGCTCGCACGGGGCCCACGAAAGGGGCCTTGTCACCCAGGGGGGGAGGGAGGCAGCAGCACCTCTCCCAGGGGGGCCTTCCTGGTTCTCTGCAGGCGAGTCAGCACACGGATCTGGCCGACAGGAATTGAGGGGTTAAAAAAGCTTCGCCAGGTCCTGCCATAACGTATAACAATTGTTCCTGTGGGACTGGGAGTGAATATGAAAACTGACTGAAGCCCAAAGGTAGGAGAGAAAGGCCATTTCTTGGGCCGAGAAGTTTTAAGGATTCTCCTTGGAGATGAAGTGACCAGCTTTGTAGGGCAGGTGGGTAGATGTGCCCGCCCTAGGCTTGTCAGCAGAGTTGTTAGGAGAGAGCTGCCGAACTTCGGGAGTGAGTGCTGACGGTCCTTGTTAGACTCCACGAGCGGAGAGACGCCAGATAACCTCTGTGAGCCAGGATATATGTGCAGCCTTTAGGGGGTGGTCCAGACTCTTCTCGAAAGGTAGCAGTTACAATCCAGGATCAGTTACAATCCACTGACCACTGGAAACATTAGCCCACGTGCTACCTTGGCCAGCGAGGCCAGCACACCCCTGGGCAGATCAGGACAGCAGGAGCAGAACCCCAGGCTCAGCCGTCCCCATTCGCAGTGGGACATGGTTCTGGGTCCTTGTGAGAACGATGAAGCTGGCAGCTGTGTAGACGAGGAGTGCCGTGCCCACGGGGATGAGGGGCTGGTGCAGAGCTGCGGGGCTTCTGTGTGGAGGCTGACAGACGTGCTCAGGCTAGCCCGCAGGACGGTCACCGAATACGAGAACAGACCGCTCGAAGCCGGAAGGACATGACGAGCTGCCCAGACGCCCGGTCTTCCTGAGCGTGGGCACTAGGAGGTGGGGGGTGTGGGCAGGTTTGTGGAGGGTTTGGGCGGAGGGGAGGCGCCGTCCAGACTGCAGTGGAGGTGGCGTGCCCCTGCCCTGTGCGGCACAGAGGCCAGCCCTCTCTTCGGAGTGGTCCGGGAGCAGCCCAGCCCCACCCAGGAGTGTGCATCCCTTGGGAAGAGAGCTCTTATGGGGGACTGAGATCGGCACCTTTCTCTGCTGCATTGTCACTGTCTGAGGTACATGCTTTAAAACGGACCAGCAATGAGGACTGGACAGCATATCTGGTCTGAAGATGTTCGTGTGTCTGTTTACATCCAGAGTTCTGTGACACACACCCCCCCGCCCCCCCCCGTCCCCCCCCATGCCACAAAATGATCCATCCTCTGGGCTCAGTAGGCTAGTTGACCATTGGAATAGTTCTTTTAAAAGAGACCCCTGAGAGTTTGAGACTGCCCAGACCACCCCCTCCTCCCCTCCCCACCTCCATGCAGTGTGGATAGGAGGGTACCCGCTGCTCTGTGCAGCGGATACTCTGGCTTATCAAAGAGACAGCCAGGCATTTTGCACCAGGAAGAATCAGTGATCACTTTTCAGAAGACATCTGTGGACCATAGATACCTTATGGAAGAACAGGTTTGATGACATAAAACCTAGTTTTATAACCCAATCATGGATCAAGCGTATGCGGCTAACTTGCAGTGAAGGGGGCTCATCAATGAAAAACATTTTTTAAACTGACTGCTTTTAGTTACCATTTTAAAGTCATCTCTTGTCAAAAGGTTTAAACCTGCCCTCCTCAACCTTAAAAGCATGTCAAACAATCCGCATCAGATGCTGAGACCAGGAACCGCGGGAGGGAGTGGCACACACCCAGTGAGTGGGATGCATCCAGAGTTTGCTGTCCTTAGGATGTTCTCCAGCGTCAAGGCAGTTGCTTGTGTTTAACTGTGAACAAATAAAAACTGATCGTTTTGCACTACTCTGCAGCCCTGCTGCGAAGTGATCTGGCCTTGAGGGGCTCGCCCAGGTGGGAAAACCTCAGGCTGGGCTGGTGCGCTACCGCCCGGGGGTGGAGGAGGGTGCTGGCAACTCCCAGAATCTGGCTTTAGTCTCTGTGAGATCCTGTTTGTTCTGGCAAAACATCTGGCAAGCAGATAATCCTCAGAATTGCCTCCCAATGCATGCCCTTTCCCCAGAGAGGCCTGCTCGTGCATGCGTGTGTGCGTACACGTATGTACATACGAGTATGTGTGCGTTACCAGAAAACACAGAGGCAGGCAGCCTGGTACAGGCTTGCGTCCCCAAGGGTTGGCTGGCAAGGTGGGTTTAATGCAGCTGTGGGGTGGAGCCCAGAGACACTGAACTTGAGCCTTGTCCATTGTGTTGTGTGTGTTAAGGAAAAGGTGTGGCTGGCATGCAGCACCTTCCCTGTGCTGCGGGGTGTGGGAGGCAGAGCCTGTGTCGTGGGGGTGTGGTAGGAGGCGGGGCCTGTGCCATGGGGGTGGGGTGGGAGGCGGAGCCTTGGTGTGGGGGAGGCGGGGCCTTGCCGTGAGGGTGGGGAAGGAGGCGGGGCCTGCGCCGTGCGGGTGGGGGAGGAAGGCGGACCTGTGCCGTGGGGGTGGGGGAGGAGGCGGGGCCTGCGCCGTGGGGGTGGGGGGAAGCGGATACTGTGCCATGGGGGTGGGGTGGGAAGTGGAGCCCTGGTGTGGGGGTGTGGGGGAGGCGGGGCCTGTGCCTTGGGGGTGGGGGAGGAGGCGGGAGTGACCTCTGAACGAGGTAAAATTTGCCCGGGCCTGACTCTCTTGCTTGGGCCCTGCTGGGACAGGACCAGGGAGGAAGAGCGCCCTTGTGTGTGCCTCCGCCCGCTGCCGCTGCTCGTTTTAAAGGTGGAAGCAGTCAGTTCCTTTGACACAAAGACTCAGAGGTGGCAGCTTTGCGTTTTGTGTGGACAGTTCGGGCGCTCTTGTCCGGGTAGGTCTCTCACACAGGAGGGGTGACCACTGGCCGCCTGGTGTCTTTGGCGGGTGGCTCCTGTCTAGTGGCTGCTCTGTGCCAGTGGTTTCGCGTGTGAGGCGCCTGCCCAGTGCCCTGGAGGTCTTAAGACAAACGTGGTGCTCTTTAGGGATGTATCCCCGGAGACCAAGCCCGGCACACAGGTGGTAGAATACTTTTATTCTTGACGATAGCCCCCGAGGAAGCAAGAATACAGAAGCTAAGTCGCCCCCTGTGAAGGAAAAACCAACAGTTAAGCGACACCTCTGGTGAGCTCCAGCGCCAGTGACGCACTTGGTGCCTGGGCCTCCTGTTGTGAAGACCAGGTAGTCGTCCTGCACAGGAGCCAAGGCCAGAGTTCCTCCAGGGTCTCCCCGCCTCCCTCTCCCAAGTAAAGGAGTGGAAAGGTGGGCTCGTTCCCTTGGGCCTTGGTCCAGAGACCGGGCCTTGGTCCAGAGACCGGGCCCACGGAGGACGCTGGGTGTGCCAACCGCAGCAGCCTGGGAGGTGGGAGCAGCCTTGTCTTGACAAGAGCTGCACCTGCCTACAGTTCCCGCTGCGGTAGGACTGCAGCCGTTTGGCGGCCTCCTGGCTCCATGGCTCAGCCTGGACCTGCAGCCTGGGCGAGCAGGGCAGAGCAAGGGCTGGGAGGGAGGTCGAAGAGGGCTGGGACCCCGCTTTCAGAGCCCTCGCTCATCCCCTGCCCCCCGGGACACCCTCCATCAGCCACTCGTCAATGGGCTCCTCTTCATCTGCACAGGGCCTGCCCCAGAGGTGGGGAAAGTTAGGAGTCAAAGCAAGGGAGGGAGCAAGGGTAATATACTGGGCAGTCCCCTATGGCATTAGTGGCAGGGGCCGTGGGTGCCAGCGAAAACGGATCTGCCAGTGGAGACCGGGTTTAGTGACTGCCCCACAGGATGGGACAGCACCCCGACGGCGAGCAGGTCACTGGCTCTGAGTTACAGTTTCCCACCAGGTGGTCTCCAGGGAGGTTTTGCACATCCTCTGTCTCCCTCCCTGGGTTTGAGGCTGTCTTTTGTGAGTTGCCTACACTGGTGCTTTCTTAAGCAAGGCCGGGTGCCCTTGGCCTGGGGAGGCGCAGCTGTGGTGGTGTCCTGGTGTTTCTGGGGCTCACTCACGTGCTGCAGCGCCTTGCGGGGCAGCTTCTCCGAGTGGGCGATCCATTCTTTCATTAGGTCCAGGACGACGGGGATGAGGCTGACCACACCACCATAGTGGTTCCTGGCCTCATCACAGCTCAGGTGGTTCACCACGTCGTGAGGGTACCTGCAGGGCAGGGAGGGCCGGGTGAGCCCCACTCCAGCGACTCGCCGTACCGGGGCAGGGCTGCCAGACCTCGGGCAGGTGCTTTCGTCCCCACCTCCCGTCCGAGTCGCCTGGGAGGGTTTAGCACTGCGCACACCACGCCGGGCTCCCTGTTCGGGTGTTGTGGGTCCGCATGCGTGGGGGCCAGGAGCCCATGTAATGCTTCTGTGCAGGTCTGTAGGGGCCTGGACGAGGGGCTGGGAGACCTGTTGTAACTGCGCTCTGTCCCCTCAACTGTTCCCGCCCTCGTGTCTCAGGAGCCTCCTCAAGGGTCTGGGACCTTGTGTCGTGGGTCTCCAGGGCTCCCCGCGTGGTGCTGACACCCATGGGAATAGCCTCCACACGTCTTGCTGCTTTGTGGGTTTCTGGGAACAGGCTGTGAGCCCCTCCCTGTGCCTGGGGCTAGCTCCCTGAGAGGCTCTGTCCCACTGTCTCTGTCCTCAGGACCCCTCCCTTTTCACTCCGGTGTTTTTCTGGGTCAGAGCGGTTCCAGTTCCACCAGTGGGTCTAGGATCTCCCACCAGCCTCAGTTCAGACTTGCCTGCCCTCTCAGCAGAGGCCCCTGCCCCCCCCCCCCCCCCATGTGCGCACAGAGGCCTCCGGAACAGGACCAGAGGGACTTACTTTGCTCTCAGGCTGCTCAGGTCGTTGCTTTGGCTCACAAGGGTTTTGCATTTGTCGAGGAAGTTGTTGGTGACTGGGGTGCCCGCGTGCAGGGCTTCGAAGTGCTGGCAGATCCTGCTCAGCTCCGTGCAGATGTCCAGGAACATGAGCAGGACGCGGCGGTCCGTGGAGTTGCTGCAGTGGTGCTCCATGTAGCTCTGCACCTGCAGGGCCAGCACCGTGAGCCAGGGGGGTCGGCAGCTGCCCTGACCCCGGAGCCACGGCGAGATGCCAGCAACGTCGGGCACTTGAATGGACAGACAGCCATAGACTGCTTGATGTCCTTGTGTCCCAGGTACCAGGCAAAATGCGTGGCAGGCCAGGCTTCACTTCCTCCTCACCTGGGTAGATTTTAAATCCTCACTATAGCCATGGCCGGTTTGGTTCAGTGGTTAGAGTGTCGGCCCACAGACCGAAGGGTCTCAGGTTCGATTCCTGGTCAAGGGCACGTGCCTGAGTTGCAAGTTCCATCCCCAGCCCTAGTTGGGGTTGTGGGGGAGGCAACCAATCGATGTGTCTCTCTCACATTGATGTTTTTCTCTCTCTCCGCCCCCCCCCCACTCTATCTAAAAAAAAAAAATCAATGGAAAAACATCCTCGGGTGAGGATTAACAAAGTAAGTAAGCCCCACCCCCCAGCCCTGGGACAGACGAGCAGCGGGCAGAGGGGAGAGAAGGTGCTCCACATCACGCTGGGCCTGTGCCCTCGCCAGCCCACGGAGCCAAGCCGATGCCCACAGCTGAGGGCTGGCTCTAGCTCTCTATGCGCAGTCCCACGCGGAAGACTGCTGGGCGAGCCCCTGACTCAGCCCTTGCAGTTTGTTCTCCATCCCAGGAGAGAAAGGAGGGACAGTCGGTCAGTGGAGCTGGGGACACGGATGACCCACGTGAGACTATAACTGTCTACCTCATGCAGAGACGGGTCAGCTCTAGGAGGTGAAGCGCTTCCATACCCAACCCAGCTGAGCCGTGGGAGTGTGCTGCCGACCAGGAGTAGGGAAGTCCGCCTCCCCATCCGAAGGCACTCGGGGGGGGGGGTACAGCCCACCTGCTTCCAGCCGCTTCCTGGGCGGCATGCGGGCCCCTCCTGGTCGGGTCAGTCTCGGGAGTAACCTGGGCCCACCCAGTGCCTCTAGGTTGGAGGTCAGGCAAGGATGAGAGGCCTAACCTTGTGCTGGAGAGAAACTGGCTCCACCCAGGCAGGATTCCCAGCCCCTCCCCCGTTACATGGTTCCCCCACCCCCACTCTCCACGGTCTCGCAGAAGGGGATCCCGCCGCTTCCAGTACCCAGAGTCTAAGCCTGGGTTTCTCGTCGTCACTGGCTGCCATTTGTTGCTAGCGGATGTCTTCCCAATCTGAAGAGTTCCTTCCAGGGGCCCCCGCCCGCACACCTGCCCAGGGAGCGGTGGGTGTGGGGGGACCTGTGCCAAGCTGTCCCCAGGACAGAGCAGTGTCACTGCCACCTGCTGTGTGCACGCCACCTCTGGAGGGCTGGGTGAGGGTGGGCAGTCAGCGCTCCAGATGGAGGGTCCGATTGTGGCACACTGTTTACCAAAAGCCTCCGCTGACCCTAAGGACAAAGGGCCACACCCTCTGCACAGGAGGGGCTGGGATTGCTCAGCACTGGAGAGATTCTGAGCCCAGGTGGCAGGTCTCATACTGAAAACCTGTCCCGTGCCCTTGGCCAGCCGAGCCTTTGGGGGATGGGCTGCAAAGGACGCAGCCAACTTTCTTCCAAAAGTTCCTGGACAGGCTGTGCGCCGGGAGAGCATGGGAACCTGGCTGAATATTATGGGCTGGTGTATCTGGGGGAGGTTACGTGGCTGTTCATTTTCTGCAGGATCACATCTTTTCAAGTTTAGGAACTGGGAGAAATACTTAAAAATTAGAAAAAATGATTTGTAAAGGGGTGCTGTTCCCCCGTGGCGGGGGTGTGTGTTCCTAACACCTGGGCTCAAGCCCGTGACTTCCCGGGAGCTCCCTGGGCACTGAGCCCCGACTGCTGCCAGTCCACGAGGAGTCGGGGGTAAATGAGAACGTCCTTGCTCGGGTCCCCAGGGGAGTCCGGCCGCCGGGACCTGTGTGTCTGTCCCCAGTGCGCCCACACCCAGCCCGGGGTCTACAGACACTGGACACTGACCGAGGGCCTTCCAGGGCCGTCTCATGACACCTGCAGATCAGCCTTGGGGAGTGTTTGCTTTTTTGTCTTTTCAGATGAGGAAACTGAGGCACAGAGAGGCGAATCACTGGCCCGAGGTCACAGAGGGGGCCTGGGGTCAAGCTGAGGCCTAAGCCACGCCTGACTTGAGTCCCCAGCCCACATCTTTACCGCTTTGTGACAGTCACTCCCACACATGGTGAGGAGAATGGGTGGCTTGTGCCACCAGCTTGGGCGTGAGTCCTGATTCAGGCACAAACCTGCTTCCCCTCCCTAGGCCTCAGTTTCTTTCACTGTTCAAGCAAGGCCCAGGGCCTGATGCTGCCCGGGAGTCCCGGCCTGGCTGGACCGCCCCGGCGCACCTGCTCGATGCTGGAGATGGGCCGGATCTTGTCGTGGGCGTTCTCCCGGCAGTGCTCCAGCGCCGCCACGAAGGTGAACTGCTGCTGCTGGAACAGCTTGTACTTCTGCTCGATGCTCCGGAGGGCCTCCTTCGCCTCGTTCATGGTGCCAGTGCTCACCGCGGGCGGCTCTGTGGAGCGACAGCGGAGCGCTGAGGCCCGGGCCAGCCCAGACCGAGGTCTGCAGTCCGGTGCGGGGCGCTCGGCTCCTGCTGAAATGCTACGCAGGACTCCCAGGCTGTCCGAGAGCTGAGCCTGACCTGAGCCCCTTATCCTGCAAGGACACATTCTCTGCCACAAAGTATGACTTCCTTCCCCTCCCCGTGGACAAGAATTTCTCTGGTCCTCAGTCTCCAGGCTGGACACCCCCCCCCCCCCACATACACAGCCCCCAAGGCCTCCCTTGGTGTCAGCAAAGGCTGGGGTCAAGGAACCCGCCACAGCATGTACAATTTGATTCCATCCGCTTGGACCAACTTGTTTTAAAACATCCGCCACTGCAGTCGGTGGGATTCTTTCCCGTGGGCCAAGCAGGGGAGGGTCAGCACCGGACTGATGTCCCAGCTCTGCTTGGGGCGGGGGCCCTGATCTCAGGTTTGCCTGTGGGGACAGAGCTTGGCTGCTGGCCCCTCCTCCCTGCCTCCTGTTACTTGCAGGAAGCCCCGATTGGCAGCAGGAACACGGAGGGGAGCGCTCTCGGTGCCTCACTGTCCCCAGTGTGGTCCAGGGGTCCACTGCTCCTCTAGAAGCCCTCCGGGGAGCAGGGAGGCTGTGGGTGCTGCCCTCCATGACATCAGAGTTTTGCTGAGCACACGAAAAATACTCCAGGTCACAGGTTTGTGGAATGTTGGATTGGAATGGACTTCAGCAGATCAACGCCCCTTCTGGACAGGTGTCCAGTGTGTCACAGCAAACTTGTGCCACAGACCACCCCTCTGCAAGGCCCCAGGCTTCCTGACGGCCAGCCGGCATCCTCCAAGCTGTCCCTGCTCCCGAAGCACCAGCACGCCTGGAGCCCAGGCCTGGACCTGCCCTGCTGAGCAGGGGTCAGAGGAGGCTGAGCCCAGGGGGGCGGGTCTGAGTGAGATGCTAGAAGGGGAGGGCGGGTGGGGGAAGACACATTCCAGGCTTCCTGGCAGGTCCCAGGGGGGGAGGACTGAGAACAGGTTGGAGGTGGGAGGCGTTTCTGCTGTGTGTCTGACCCTCAGCACCTGGAGCCCAGAGCAGGGCTGGAGGCAGGGAGGGCATCCGTGGCGAGGAGATGGTGTGGGAGATGAAAGGAACGCAAGAACAGACCAGAAGATGGCCTCCACGCCTCGGTGGGAGCAGTGATCGGAGAGCCTGGGAGAGCTGGGAGATGGGCCGAGTCCTGGCAGGGAGTGAAACAGCCAGGCTGCCGTAAAGGAACTGTGCCAGACGGGACCCTGACAGTTGCGCCTCATAAACCCGAGTGGGTCCACTGTAAACGTAATGGAGCACATTTCAGCCCAGCGTCCTGAGTCCACCCCTGGGAGCCATAGCGCCGGTGTTTGCCAACAGCAGTGCAGCTGCACTGGGGACAGGCTGGTACAGGGCCAGGCCACCTCCTCCCCACTCAGCACCTCCCCACCTGCAGTGGGCAGGCGGGAGGGGAGCTGGGATACAGTGGTGGCCCACTGTTGAACAGCTGCGTATCCAGCCAACGTGCCCCACGCTGGCCTGGAGGCTGCTGCCCCTGGCAGCAGGCTCCCCGGGGCCTGGACGAGGGAGGAAACTGAGGCACTCACCTCTGCAGAATCAAGGGTGTGCCAGACAACTCAGTGACCAAGATGGGTCAAAATAGTTAATGCACTATTAAAAAAAATACAAGTTACGCCCTGGCCATGTGGCTCAGTTGGCTGGAGTATAGTCCCAGGCACCAACAGGTTGTGGGTTTGATTCCCAGTCAGGGCACATACCCTGGTTACAGATTCAATCCCTCATCAGGGTGCATACGAGAGGGAATTGATCAGTGTTTCTCTCTCTCTCCCTTCCTTCTCTCTAAAAATCTATAGAACAAAAACATATCCTCAGATGAGGATGAAAGAAAATAGAAGTTAAAAGTTAACACCAAAAAGTCCACAAAGAACAAAATATCAGCCTTTTTTTTTTTATCCTCACCTGAGGACATTTTTTCCATTTTTTGTTCAGATAGAGTGGGAGGGAGGGAGAGGGGGGTGGGGGGAGAGAGAGAGAGGTGTGAAAGGGACACATCCAGTGGCTGCCACCCGCATGACCCAACCAGGGCTGGGGACAAACTGCAACTGAGGTACGTGCCCTTAGCAGGAGCTGAACCCTGGTCTCTCTGGGCCCACACTCCAGTCGCTGAGCCAAACGGGCTGGGGTACTGTATCAGCATTTGAAATAAAGACAGGATGGGTGTGTCTGTGCCTTGCCACGGTGGAGCCCAGACAAAGGGAAACGCAGTATTACTGATCCCTTCTTAACGTTTGTGAAATTTTATTCTAAACGAATTTTTGCACTGATTTTGATTTTTAAAAAATAATGCATTAAAATGTTCCTTTTTTGATTCCTGAGGTTTGGGGCGCCCCCTAAGTTCTGTGCTGAGGCAGCTGCATCACTTGCCTCACCTCGTTGGGACCCAGGGTTTCCAAATGGCTCGGAAGTTGGCATGAGGGAGGGGAGTGAGCCCGGCTAACCGGCCACCTCCCCGATGCTCAGAGCTGTGGTTGGTGAAGAACCCGAACTCTGGAACCACACAGTCCTGGGCTCAAGTTGGGCTCCCCCGCTTCTTGCTGGCAGGGCTCTGACATGCATGGCGCCAGACGGCAGGTGTAAGGCGTGGAGCCCAGAATGCAGTCTTGCTTGGCTGTCATTAAACAGTGCACGTGACAGGGGACTGCCACATGGGCATGGTGTGCACCCCAAAAGAAGCAGAGGCTGATGAGGGCTTGACCCTTCTGGAGGAGGGAAGATTTAAAAAACAGGCTTTGGAGAGGTGGAAAGCGGAAGGTTGGGAGGTGGGGGTGTGGGGAGCCTGTGAGGAAGTACAGAAGGCAGTGCACAGGTGTGGCGGAGGGACCCCAGGTGTCAGGCAAGGCATCGAGAGACCACTGCAGGCGTGGACGCCAAGGAGCTGCGAAGCACTTCATGCACTCGCTCGTTTGCTCATCATTCATACTGCTGTGCCGACCCTGTGCCAGGCGCTATTTAGGGTGCTGGGCTATAGACATTGAACAAAACAGGTGAGATTCCCTACACCGGAGGAACTACCTACCTTTTAGGGAGGCAGACAAGAAGGATTAGTGAATGGAGGGTAGTTCTGATAAGGGCGCGGCTGAAGAGAGAAGCAGGGAAGTGGGAGGGGGTGTCAGGAACCAGGGGCTGCACAGTCTGCAAAAGGGCGTTTGCAGGAGGTGGTCAGGGGCGGTGCAGGTGCTCCAGCCTTCCACCAGAGCCTGGTGGCGCGCCCTGACCCTCCTCGCAACAGCAGGTTACTTGATGGGGCGCTAGGAGAACCCTGGGCATGCCCTACCTCAAATCCTCACCACGGCCCTATGAACAGGGTATAATTATCCCCACACAACCGATGATGAAGTTCAGATCTCGCAGCTGGGAAGTGAGCAAGCCAGGATTCCCCACTCACCTCTGCCTATGAAGTCTGGGCTGTTAACGTGAATATCTCCCTCCTTCCCTCCGTGATGTTCCAGAGACAAACATGCCAGACATCAGACTGTGTTTGGGGGCTTGAGGGGGTGATACCAAGGGCCTGACATGCTACTGGAGCCCTCCTAGGGGTCATACACTAGCTGGACCCCTGGACCTTGCTTCCACTCCCATGAGACTGTTTTCTGTGCCCCATCCCAAAGCAATGAGGACTAGCATTCAGCGCTGCCCTGTGCACCTGGCTCCCTGCCACCCTCCTGGGCTTCCTGGGGCTGCCAAGTCCTCCAGGGATACAGCACTACCTCGGCTGGTGGCCCCAAGAGCCCCTGAGAGAAAAACTGCCTCGGTTCTTGATCCTAGCGACTTGTGACATACGTGCCAGGAGTGTTGTGAGAAGAGCTGTAATAAGCTATCCAAAGTGATCGGCCCTTGTACGAGAGTCACTGCAGCCAAATTAGTCGGGATGAAAGGCACAGAGTGCAGACACCCCTCGATCTGGGGGAGCAGGAAGGAAAAAATGATTACCCAATAGGTTTTTGGCTTTAATTGATTTGTATTTTTTCCAGGCTGCTAAAGAAGATTAAATCATGGTATGAAAAGCGCCTAGGGCTTAAAATAAATGAGGAGAAAGGCAAGTCATTTCAGAAATGTCCAGGAAGCAAACTGAACCTCTCCAGCGCAAGTTGCAGGCTTGGTGGTTGTATTCTTTGTTCAGGGGAGGCAGCTTCCTTTTCTTCCCCAGCTGTCTTTGCAGTTGGGTTTGACAAGCCTACCAAGGTTTGCACGCTTTGAGGAGCAGCTCCTGAGGGCACGGCAGAACTCAGCCTTTTGCCGTTGGAGGGCACCTCTCTGGGCTGATGACTGGTGGGAAAGGCTTTGGGACCACCTACTTCCAGCCCTGGCTCAGCCTTTGCATTGAACAGGTGACCTTGGCCAACAGTTCCCCCCCTTTCTGGGCCTCAGTTTATCCATTTGTAAAATGAGGGGATTTGGGTTAGAGGGTTTCGAAGCCTCTGGCTTTGAAGGCTGTGAGATCAACAGCTGCCAAGGGCCGAGGACAGGAAAGGGGAAATGACTCGCCCAAAGTCACTCAGCCAACTATTTTTCACCATTCTTAATCCCCTAAATTCTCGTGCAAAATGGGAATGAAGGCACCCATTTCTCAGGGTTGCTGCAAAGATGAAATGAGATAATACTGACACAGAAGCCCCATTGTAGTGTGCCCTTGCTAGATGAGTTACTGGCTAATATTGCAGATATATTATCAGCTCATGGGATCCTCCCCACTTCACAGGGAAGGAAAGCGAGGCCCAGGGCAGGCACACACGGCTAGTAGGAGTGCACCCAGGGTTTGACCTCTGGGCAGTCTGTACGGACTCGGCCATACGCCCTCTGCATAGCGTGCACAGACACCACCGCTGAGCGCGCAGCGCGCCCCAAAACGGTAGCTCCCACCAAGAAGGGCAACAGGAGCCAGAGCCCCAGTCAGTGCTGCGTCCATACCAGTCCAGCCCCGTCCCACCGGGGTAACGCGACCCCAGAGCGACGCACCGCTCCCCCTGGGGCAGCCGCGGCGGTCCCGGCACCCTCCGCTCCGACCCCGGCCCCAAGCCCGCGTTACCCTGGTCCCACAGCGGCCTTCGCGCGGAGCGCCCTGAAGCCGCCGCCTCGGCGGGTGTCTGCGACCCCGAAGCGCGCCTCGGCGGACGTGGAAGGCGGGGCGGGGTGTCAGGTGGGGAGGTCGCGGGGAGAAGAGGCGGGGCCACGGGCCAGATTGTTACCGCGGTGCCATAGCGACCGGGTCACGTGGCCGCCCCGCCCCGCCCCGCCCCGCCCCAGGAGCGGGCGCGGGGTCGCCCGGGGTTCAGCAGCGGCGAGCTGGGCGGAGGGCTTGCAGCGGGGACCCGGGCCCTCCGGCCGGCCCTTCGGCCTCCTTCCCCTCTTCAAGTACCCCCCTACCTCTGTTCTTCATTGTAAGGGTGGGGACACTGAGGCCGGAGGGCCGACCGCCGGGCCAGGGAGCGTCGGCGGAACCAGAAGCAGGCCCCGCTTCGGCCTTCGAGGTGTCGTCCGGGGTCTCAGCACAAGGGGGGCCCTACCGGGCGCACCTCCGGCCCTCGGAGGCTGCCGCTGGAAGCGACCCGAGGCGCCCGGGGAGACGCGCCCGAGGAGGAGCGCGAGTCCAGGCCCCGCGGCGCGCGCCAGTGACGTCAGGCCGCGCGCCCCTAGCGACGGCGGTCTCCAGGGAGCGGCGCCCGCTGATGACGGCAGCGCCCTTAGCGACGGCGGTCACTAGGGAGCGGCCGCGCCGCAGCGCCGCATGGACGCGACGACCGCGCCGCACCACATCCCGCCGGAGATGCCCCAGTACGGGGAGGCGAACCACATCTTCGAGCTGATGCAGGTGACCCGGCAGCCCGCCCCCGAGGTCGCCTGACTCGGGGTGCCCGCCGTGGCCCCGGGGAATTCCGGGTCTGAATACCTGCCGCGCAGACGCAGGGCGGAGCGGGGCGAGCCGTGCGGACCAGAGCTGCCCGGCCGGAACGGCCCCTTCGCGCTCTCGGCCCTCTGTGAAGTGGGGGCTGCTAGGGGCGGCCTCCAAAGGGCCCAGTTCCGTCTGTCTGCGGGGCTGGCTTCCCAGCTGGGGGGCGTCCCCGCTCAAGGTGGCTCCTCCGAGGCGGCCGCCGCCTGGGACAGCGGCCCTGGGGTGTGGACAGCGGCCCTTGCCACCTGGCCCGAGTTCCTGGCAGCTCCCAAGCTCGCCTCCTGGTGCCTGACCTGACGGGGCCCCACCGCCCGAGTGGCCCTAGGCACAGCCCTGCCCCGCGAGCTGCAGGCGTCCCTTCTGCGCGTCCTGGAGAGCCAGCCGCTCCGGTTCCGAGGGCCACGGGGAAGCCGGAGCCTGTGTCTGCAGCGTCGGTCTGCTCCTCTGGGTCCGCCCCGTCCCCGGAGGCATCGTGGTGGTGCTTGTGGTCATTTGAACCTCTGAGCTGCACACTCGGACTGGGAAACCCTTGCGTCCCTCTCTCCAGCAGGCACATGCTTCCTTTGGGAAGTGTTACCTGATAGAGCGGGGGAGAGAGAGATTTCTAAAGTTGAGTGACCAATCTAAGTGGAGAAAATGGCTGTTATCAGTGGGCAGGATGGGGGAGCTCCGGGGAGCACTGTGTCCGCTCTAGAGAACTTGGTGTATCGCCATAGTGACTTGGAAGGAGCAGCCCCAGAAAGCTCTTAGTCCAGTATTTCCAGTCCTTAGTCACTTGTGTGTTCCCCTCCATGATTTTGACCATTTCCACTTTTCCCACTTTTTATTTTAAATTAACTGTAGACCCACAGGAAGTTATAAAAATAGTGTGAAGTTCTGGTGTATCCTCCCAGCTTCCGCCAGGAATAACATCTAACATAACTGTAGCACATTGTCCAAACCAGAACACTGATGTTGGTACAAGACTGGTAACTAGACTACAGGCCTTAATGGGATTCATCTTTTTTTTTTTTAATCCTCACCTGAGGATATTTTTACATTTATCTTCAGACAGAGCAGGAGGAAGAGAGAGAGAGAGAAACATCGATGTGAGAGACATTGATTGGTTGCCACCTGCATGACCCCAACTGAGGCCAGGGACGAACCACAACTGAGGTACGTACCCTTGGCCGGAATCGAACCCAGGACTCATTGGTCCTCGGGATGACGCTCTAACCGCTGAGCCAAACCGGCCAGGGCAAAATCAACCCACTTTTAAAAAATGAAGTCACTTTCTTTGTCATCCTTGAAGTCATAGGTCTGATGTATTTTTCTAATGCACATTAGATAGTTATACAACTATTTTTTAAAATACATTTTTATTGCCCTGGTCGGTTTGACTCAGTGGTTGGAGCATTGGCCTGCGGACCGGAGAGTCTTGGGTTCAGTTCCCGCTAGGGGCACATACCAAAAGAAAAAAAATCTCTTAAAATACATTTTTATTGATTTTTTCGATAGGAAGGGAGAAGGGGAGACAGATAGAAACATCGATGAGAGAGAAACATCGATTGGCTGCCCCCTGCATGTCCCACACTGGGGATCGATCCCACAACTTGGGCAAATACCCTGACTGGGAATCAAACTGTTGACCTCTCGGTGCATGGGACAACGCTCAATCCACTGAACCACAGCAGCCAGACTAGGTGTACTATTTAAAAGTGAAATTTAGAATATTCATCTGTGAACCATCTACAGTCATCCCCCACCGTTTCACCAGTGACCTGTGACTAGGTGAGGGAGCTGAGGCCCAGAGCAAGGAAGGGAGCTGCTGGTGAAATTCGGAGCGGGGCTAGGACTTCTCAGCCCAGTGCTCTTTGTTGCCCACACCCCAAGGGGCTGAAGCCCCTCTGCTCGTCCAGCCCAGCTCCTCTTAGCTGCCCGGCTCGCCGCTGCCTGTCACTCTGGAACCGTGGAGGCTCTTTCCCTCGGAGTTAAGGGCCAGGCTGTCCCAGGACTCTAGGTATTGGGCAGGCAGAATTCCGCCCCACTCTGGAGGGACCGTGGTAGCGGTGATGGCTGTGTCCCCAGCAGACATCTGCACTGGGACTTGCTGTGATTGTGCCAGGCACTAGTCGGGGTGAGGAATGGCCGGACGCGTGGGGGCGCAGGAGTATGTGGCAGGGCTCAGCTGGTGAGTGTGGTCCGGAAGGCACTCTGCACCAGACCTGAGGACGGAGGGAAGCCTTTCCAAGTGGAGGGAGCAGCATGGCTCAGGCCCAGGGGTGTCTGGGAAGAACAGAGAAGGCTGGTCTGCAAAGCATAAAGGGACGAGGGCGGAGGGCCCTGGACCGACTGAGGCAGGGGCACAGCACCCCCCTCGTGCCTCTGCTCACCTGGACCCAAGCAGCTGCCGTCTGGGGCAGGGGCTGGGTCCCAAGCTGAAAGCATATTGGGGGTGCCGTGGAGAGATCAGGCCTCACAGCCATTATCCATGGTGACCAGGGTGCTGGGCCACCTGAGAGGGGGGCCGTGGGCGCCCCTGCGGGTGTTAACCACCTGGATGTCTGCCCTGCACCCACAGAACATGCTGGAGCAACTTCTGATCCACCAGCCCAAGGATCCCATCCCATTCATGATTAATCACTTGCAGCGAGACAACGATAATGGTGAGCACCCCCCGCCCCAGGAACAGCTGACGCTCCGTCCTGTGTCTGAAGGGAGGTCAGAATAGAGTGGGGAGGCGTTCTGACAATTTAGGTTAATTGAAAAACGCCTTGATTTCTTTGGGAGCACAACTAATAAAAATTCTCTCTTCGAGTTATTAAAAGAAAACGTCAGAGTAGCCCATGGAATCAATTATTAATGCTTTCGCACGCCCCAGCTGATGTCGCCTGTTGGGTTTAAGCTCTGTGATCACTCCACTTGTCAGGTGTAAATTTGGTTTCTGGTCTACCTAGACAGGCAGCACTCGGTTTTCCTGATGGTCTCATTATCGGCGCCTGTTAATGAGTTCCAGAGCTCCCCACAGCATGGCCCGAGTGCACGTTGGCCAGACCCAAGGCCAACGCACGGGCCGGGGTTTGGGGAGAAGGGGCACCACCCACGGTCGATCTGCCAGGTGGAGGGGATCACTCCATCCTGTGTGAGCTGTCAGGAGAACTGGGCTCGCAGACCTTTGATGTTTCTTTCACTGGAGCAGTAACTGCTTTGAAGGAGCGAAATGAGCACTTGGTGCAGCTGAGGCGGATGGAGGCCTAAAATGCCCCGAGATGCGGAAGGCTGCTGAGTAGCTTTAAAAGAAAGTGAGAGAGAGGAGTCGCCCAGCCTGCAGGTGAGCCGGGCACACTTGGCCCTTCCAGCGAGCTCTGCCCACAGGTCCTCATGGTGCCAGGCTTGGCTGCAGAGCACCAGAGTGAGGACCGTGTCACAGACCTTAGCCAGGTGGTTCAAAGAGAGCCCCACGGTGCCCGTTCCTAGCTGGGCAGAATCGAGGATTGACGTTGACTGAGCCTGTGCCCCAGGTGGGCAGGGAGCTGTGAACCTGTGGGCCAGGAGGGCGACCTTCTCCAGCGGTCCACTCTGCCTTCTGTGTTCCCACTGTATTCACTTTGCCCCCCGGACACTCTGCTGCGAGGCTCGGGTCTCTGGTTCGCGTGGCTGGGAGGTACAATGCTTTGCAGGGTGGACATTAAGCCACCCTCCTTCCTGTGGGCCTGCTGCAGACTGCGCTGCCCACTAGGCCCACTGCCGAGGCCGCCGGGGCTGCCTTCCCACCTTCCCCGTCCGGGCCGGGCGGGGCTCAGGTTGCTAAACCATGTGTGTGAGGGCTGCTGGGAGCATGTCTGCCCATGTTCGACTCTGGTGCTGCCCAAAGCAAGTAGTAAAACCCAGTGACCCTGAAGAGAAACTGAAAGTAAAAGGAGAGCAAAGCAACAGCGCAGCTCAGAGAGCACAGTGGCGCCCCCTGCTGCCACGACCCAGTCCTACGGTTCACCCATCTGCATGTGCAAAGAATCGGGTTCCTCACGCGTAAGGTGGGCGAGTCTGGTCCCCTGACTGAGATGGAGGCAGGGAAGCTGGGGCCTGGCCTGTGGCGACTGGTCAGTGACGGTCACGGAAGGAGCCTTGGTGCTCCCTCAGGGCTTCAGGTGGTGGGTGCCCTGTCGAGCTTCCGCTTGTGACAAGCATATCAGATTTTTCTAAATTAAAAAGATACTTGACAAAGATACAGTGATTTGAACTGTAAGTTGGGCTGTGATGGCTCTTCACACTGTGCTGGTTTAAAAAACTCTTGGGGCACGTAGGCCATATTGTGCATTTTAAAAATTAACGTTTTCATCACTTTTATCCCCTCTGTGACCTCTGCCACCTCCCCCACCGCCCACCCCCACGTGTGTGTTTCTAAATTCCAACCTCGGAGCTCGGCCATCTCCCCAGCTAGACATCCAAGAGCCTGAAATTGGAGGCTGATCCCGTTTTTATGTTACGATCTTGCTCCTCTGCGTGCAGGTATCATTTCTAGTGTCAGACCATCCACTTCACCAGAACTGTTTTTTTTAATCCTCAGCCAAGGATATTTTTCTTTCTTTCTCTTTTTTTTAAAGATAGAATGGGGGCAGGAAAGGGAGAGAGACAGACAGACAGACAGACATCAGTGTGAGGGAGACACAGCGATTGCCTCCCGCTCGACCCGGACAGGGCTGGGGACGGAACCTGTAACGGAGGCACGTGCCCTTGACCGGGAATTGAACCTGAGACTCCTCGGTCCTCAGGCCGACGCTCTAACCGCTGTGCCACACCAGCCGGGCTCACCAGAACGTTGACTTTCAAACATCATCTTTCTACATTGGACGCAGTGCAGCCGACGTCGGCTGGACAGTCGTCCTGGACGCTGGCCTCACAGCCGCCTCCTGCTGCCGCCTCAGTACCCTCTTCGGTTTGTCCCGGGTGGCAGGGCTCCCTGAGGCTGCCCTCCGCGGAGCTCGGCCCCTTCTGCACTCGGCGAGGGCGAGGCGCCCAGACCTGCTGGGCTCAGCTGCAGCTGCGGGGCCCTGCCTGCCCCTCTGAGGAGCTGCGGCCAGGTTTGGCCCAGACGCTCTGGCAGAGTCCTGGGTCCCACTGACGACCGTTTGCAGGGTTGACTTGTTCCCCACAGCCCTCCAGTCCCCTCCCCCAGGCCTTGGGCAGCAGCTCTTACAGGTGTGGAAGCATCGTTGCCCTTTGGCTTGAGTCCCGACTGGTTAAGTGCAAAGAAGAGAGGGATGTTGGTGGGGGGCCTCCTGGTGCCCAGGCCTCCACCTGCAGGTGAAGCCGGAGTGGGGGAGGCGGGAGAGGACGGAGCTTCTGTGACTTTTCTGGAAGTGGGGCGAGGCAGTGTTCTCGAGGGGGGTAGGGGGTGTGGGGGGCCCCTGACACCCAGCGAGCATCACCCTGGGCCAGCGGGTCAGGCTGTCTCTTTCCTTCTAGCCACGCAGTGGCCTGTCGCCTGGAGCCAGCCCTCACCCTCTGCCTCCCGGGCCAGGGCCTCGCTCGGTGGCCAGGGGCTGGTGCGGAGGGAGAGAAGACCCGGCCTCACCCCCGGGGGCACGAGGGGGCCCCCCACGGCTGGCGGCCCCTTCACCGCCAGAGCAGATCTGATACAAAGTGAGCGTTTAGGGTAGCCCTGGGCAATATTAAAGCCGGCGACGGTGTCGAGAGCGGCGTGATTCGTTCTTTATCAAACGTTTGTCCAAGAAAGCTGTGTATTAGAGCTCCGGTACCTAGGGGTGTTCTTGTGAATTTTAAATCACGCTCCTGGTTAAACCTCAAACGGATGTGCGGATGGATAGGTTTTGATCTCCTTTGAAGTGGTTTGAAGCGGTTGATCACTTGGCGGAGAGCAGTCTTCACGACGGCTTATGAATAATGCTCGCGAGGGGCTGCACCTTCACGGTGTTCGACTCTAAGACACTGAAATTAATCAGATAAATGTGTGTGAGGAATTGGGGGGCATGGATGTTCCCTTTTAAAGCATTTCCACAGATGTGCACACTCTGGGTGTCACTACGGGAGCCTGGAAGGGTTTCCCCAGCAGCCTTTGAACCCTGTCGCTTTGTCAAGATGCACATGTGGTTGGAGTCAGCGTGTTCCCCAGAGGCTGTCGCCGAGCTGCGTCTCCCTTCGCGAGTCCACAGGCCCAGATCCCGCGGGCCTGGCCCAGGTCCCGAGGAGCTGTGGTGGGGCCCTGTGGTGGGGCCTGTGGTGGGGCCTGTGGTGGGGCCTGTGGCGGGGCCTGTGGTGGGGCCTGTGGTGGGGCCTGTGGCGGGGCCTGTGGCGGGGCCTGTGGCGGGGCCCTGTGGTGGGGCCTGTGGTGGGGCCTGTGGTGGGGCCCTGTGGTGGGGCCCTGTGGCGGGGCCCTGTGGTGGGGCCCTGTGGTGGGGCCCTGTGGCGGGGCCCTGTGGTGGGGCCCTGCTGCCAGGGAAGCTGGTGATGGGCGGTGGCCAGACCCTGTCCCCCACCGCACCCTCCTCTGGCTTTGGCCGAGGCGGTGCCCCCGGGGGCTGAGCGAACGCGGCTTCGGAGCACGGGGACTTCCACCCCCACTGCCCTTCCTGCTGCTCGGGCGCTGCCCCTCCCCCCCTTTCAGGGCACCAGCGCGGTCTCCCAGTCATCTCACCTGACCAGCTGTCCCCAGGCCACCTCGCTTCCCCTCATCCTGTCAGCAGCTCCCGCCTGCTGTGCTCCTCCGCCCAGGAGGCCCCGAGGCCTGGCCCCAGGCGGCGGGGCTCTGCAGAGATTGGGTGCTGTTCTGGGTTCACCAGTCAGGTGATGCCGGTCTGGGAGGTGCTGTCCCTGGTGGCCCTGCAGGGCCTGGCTCCTGGGTGACCGTGGTGGCATGTGTGGTGGCAGCCCCACGGCCCACACGATGAGCAGCATTCGGGGCTCAGTGCCCTGTACGTCCGCGCTGTGTCCCCTTCCCCTGCCCTGCCCACCCCACGTGGGGCACTGTTCCCGGCTGGGCGGCCCTGGGGCTGACCCGCGTGTGCAGGGTCCGTGGGCCTCGCTGGCCTCCCACCCGCTGCTCTTGCATCCTGTGGCTGGCGCCCGAGAAGGCCGCGTGGCGGAGGTGCCTTTGTCAGGGGGCAGTCGTGGTGGTGACACGGGACAGCCACTCAGGGCGGCTGAGCGGGGGCCGCTGCAGGTCCCGCTGTGTGCGGCTCCTCCTAGTCCTGGACCCGGAGAGGAGGCCGTTGGTGGGGGACAGTGGTACCCCGGGCTGCTCAGCTGTGGTGCAAAAGTTGGGTTGGGGTAAGGAGGCCAGTCCTGATGGGGAGATGACAAGGACAGTCCGGGCCATCTGGACCTCCAGCAAGGAGTGGCCGTTCAGATGACCAGGACACACCCAGCCTTCTGTTGAGGTCATGCCCCTCTGGGTCCCAGAGGACTTGGTGGGCAAAGAGCCCTTTGGCCAGAAGAGTGTTGGAACCGTCCACGATGCCGAGCGAGCGAGCGGCAGGACGCACCGCAGCAGAAAGCCGCGGCGTGTCCGACGTCAGCCGTGCTCCTCAGGAGAGCACTCCGTCACACGTGGGCGGGGGAGGCCGCTGCGTGCGCACGCTGCGAGGGTCCCGTGACTGTCTCCAGGGGCGCGTCCACCGCGCTTTCCTCGGCAGCGTCTAGCCCAGCCCCGAGCACGGAAGGGGCTCCGTGGAGGATGTGAATGACCTTGAACCTTCCCTCCATGTTTTTCCTGAAAAAGAGAAGGGCTATGAATTTGGGCAAAGGCCTGTTAAGCAAGCAGCCTGGCTGGGTGTAGGCATGCTGATCATTCCACTGTGGCCCCAACGGACCCCTAGACCTGTCCTCGGCCTGGAAGGCGCCCTCCCTGTGGCCTGGCAGGAAGGGGCTCTGCACGGGGACATCGGGAGCCCAGGTGAGCTGCAGCGCACATCTGCCCATCGTCCCGACCTTGGTTCGTGCCCTTTGCTCCCCACTGTTAGGGGTCATGATCATGGTGGCGGTCAGCGATCCGTCTGCCCGGCTGCTCCGTTCTGTTTCCCGTGTTTTGACCCAAGTATGCCCCCTTCCACGCAGTTCTCCAGACGCGGGTCTTCTCCAGACGCCATCGCCCACTCCGTCTGGGAGCCCACCGGGTCTGGGAGCTGCCTCAGGACTTCTCGGGGTCGGCTGGGAACCCGGCCACAGCCAGGAGTCTCCGCCTGAAGCCAGGGTCCTTCCATTTGCATAGAAATGCCCGCGTTTGAACACAAAGGCTTCCTGCCTGGGGTTTTATGAATCTGGCCCATTCATGGCAGGCTCTCCCCCAATACTTCCCCTGTAAAATGATGGGGAATACAGTTTGCTAAATAAGAGGGCATAAATAAAAAAAAAGAGAAAAGCTTCGAAGGTCAATTTACATAAAATACAGCTTTATTTGAGAGCATGTCCCTGAGATGAAGTCCCTGTTTAAAAAGCTTTATGATGTTTGAAATCTCAATTGTTCCTGATATTTATTAGTTTGGCAAACAAGTTACCGTGTCTGTGTCCCCTTGGAGAGAAAAAAATAAACCATCTCAGCGATCACTTACCTCTCTAAACACAGAGCGGGCCCTATGGTGAGAGCATCTCGGATCCGCGGTTACAAACGCCATGTGCTGGCAGAAAGCGAAATCCGGGGAGGGGAGAAATAGTGCCGTATATACCCCGAGTCCGGCGGGCGGGGCTGCTTTGGATGGAGCGATGATGTCCGAACCTTCTCATTCCAGTGCCGAGGGTGATCATCCTGGGTCCACCGGCCTCGGGGAAGACGACCATCGTAAGTGTCCCCTAGTGTGCGGCGCTGCGCTGCCCCCTCCCACGGAGCCGGGCGCCTGTGGCCGCGACCCATCCTGGCCGGATCTGCTGCTTTCCCATCTCCTCCTACACGTGCTTTCTTTTTCTTCTTTAAATCCTCACCCAAGGGTATTTCTCCATTTATCCTCAGATAGAGAGGGAGGCTGAGAGAGGAACATCGAGGTGAGAGAGACGCATCGATTGGTTGTCTCCCCCATGACCCCGACCAGGGCCGGGGACCGAGCCACAACCCAGGCATGTGCCCTTGATTGGACGCTCTAACCGCGGAGCCAAACCAGCCAGTTACATTCTTATCGCAAGAGGCAGTATGTGTTCATAGCAGAAAACCTAGAAAATACAATAAACCCCCAAACCCAGAAGTACAACTCCCTGACCACCAGGAGCTGTTTTGGGATGTGCCTCCAGGGTTTTCTCGTGGCCATAGGACGCTGGCTTTGCCCCTCAGTGCTGTCCTCGGGGTCCGTCTCGGGGCCGAGTGCTGGCCCGGAGCACACACGTTCCCCAGAACCTGGGCCTGGGGTCTTGGGATCCACTCGTGACGTTGTAGGTGTGAGCCGCTTCACCCAGTCAGAAGAGCACAGGGGCTCACTTCCGGGGTTGACAGCAGTTCAGCATTTTGCCATATTTGCCGTGACGATTGTCTTCCATTTTAAAGACAATACAACTTGAAAGATACGGGGACTGCGTCTCCCCACCTTCTCTTCTGTCCCGCCAGGCAGGCGACCCTGTCCTGCAGCCGATGCGCTCCATCCTGTCCCTGGTTTTAATCCTGTGGTTTTAAGCTCCTTTTTTTTTAAGGGCCAAACACTTAAAGTTGTAATCATCGAGTTGGCACTTCTCTGTCTTTCAAAGCCTGGTTAGTGAGCCTCGGTCCACCCTCCCTCAGTGACGGTGTCCTTGTCACCGAGCGCTTGCCCACCTGGAGGGTGTGGCCGGGTCCCCTGAGGAGCTGGTTCCCTGGTGAGTGGGTGCCCGAGAGGGCTGACCCTCACGGAAACCTGCCTGGGCCCTGCTCCGACCACGTCTGTCCTTCCGTCCACCCGCCTGTCAGGCTCTGTCCAGGTTTTCTGCTCCGCAGGCTCAGCTGCCAGCCTCCCGCCCGAATCGGTTTTGCTGCTAGACCCTCGGGGGCCCCAGCCCTGGCCAGCACGCGCATTGCCAGGGTGCTTAGGAAAAATGCAGGTTTCCAGGCCCCCCTCTGGACTCCCTCGTGGAAGGTGCCCCGAGGTGACTCTGAGGCTGGGACCGCGGGTGGTCATGTCCGCACTGAGCTGGGTGCCCTGAGCCTTGTGGAGCTGGAGTTGGCAGCTCAGGGTGAGGGCTCCCTTGGCAAAGGCTCTGCCTTCCAGACAGTCACTGCGGCCACCTTGCTCTTCCCCACCTGTGTGCCCTGATCACAGGGCAGAGTTTGTGCAGCGCTGTGACTCGAGAGCAGACACCTCTGTCCGGTCCTCCCCGAGGTGGCCAGGGCCCCACGGTGCTTAGCTGCATGTGTTCCACTGTCCCCCTGGCCCCCCTTCTGTGTGGGGACACAGAGACTCTAACTTCACCATAAGCTGACATAGAGTAAATCCAGCAGAGGCCCCGAGGGCTGTTGCTGACCGTGTCACCCCCCTTTCCCAGCTTGAGGAGTGGAGAGTTGGGGTCCGTACCTGCCCAGAGGGCCTGCAGGACCCTCGGAGGCATCCTGCCGCCAAGTGGTCATCGGTACAAACTTGGCACGGAGAACCTTGTATTGCACTGTTATGCTTTAATTGTGTCCTCCCCTGGTCTCTGTGGTAGTTATGAATGAGCCTAGACATTCATTTCACCGGGGCTCATCTCCCCATCTTGAAGGGAAAGTCAGCATGGAACGAGGTTTGATCCATACGTCGGTCCTATCTCTGCGTTTCCTGGGTTCGCCGCTCGTGTCCCGCAGGCTGGGAAGACCTGCCACGGGGGTTTCGGCCCCACGGAGGCAGAGGCAGGAGGCAGAGGGGTCGGCACGCAGCAGGCTCCTGGGCGGGGAGGTGCTGCACGGCCGTCTCCCCGGCCTCCTCCGGCCAGGAGCGGGCAGGACTGGGCAGGGCCTGGGCGTGTGTGGACTCCCCTTCCTGAGCGCCTCCACGCAGGTTTCTCTCCCCTCCTCTCCAGGCCATGTGGCTGCGCAAACATCTGAACTGCAGCCTTCTCACCGTGGAGAACCTGATCGCCAGACAGCATTCTTCTCTGGCCGCAGGTGCCAGGAGCCAGTTCCAGAAAATGAAGGTAGGCCTGGCCCCGAGGGGGGCAGGGCTCCTGGGCTCCCCACCCCATGGCCCAGTCAGTTTCTGTTTCCTGTTGGATTGAGAGGAATTGCTGGGGTGAAATGAGATGCAGGCCGGATGTGACGGAAGGAGGGAGGGTTCTTAAGTGGGGCACACGCTGGTGGGGGAGGTGAGGGGTCTGTGCTGGGATCCGGATAGAGGGGAGCCCATGGTGTACTGTGGGTGCAGGTGGGGCGGGGTCCTTCTCACCCGTGACTGCCTGCCGGCCCGCACCAGGACCGGGGGCTGAGCTGCAGCGAGTTCCGGGGGAGGTGGTCCCGTCTCCGGAGTGGAGATGCCGCGCTGCACAGTAGGGCGCCTGCTCCAGCGCTCTGGGCCCGAGCCCCAGGCCGCACCGCAGCAGGCAGGCCCCATGTGGTCCCTCTCACGCATCCCACGGGGACTGGTGGTGGTTCTGAAATTCCAACCCTGCATTTGAAAGACATAAAAAAGGAAAATAGGAGGCTTGATCATGTCATTTCTCTTTAGTACAAATAAGAAACTTTGAAATATTTCTTCAAAGTCCCTTTTGGCCTATTAGTGATTTCGTCTGTTCGGGCTGCGAGGACAGAACACTGCAGACTGGGTGGCTTGGCAACAGCCGGTGTCCTCCGAGGCTGGGTGTCCGAGAGCACGGCGCCAGCAGATCCAGTGTCTGGGGCAGACGCCCCGCCTGGGTCCTCTCACGGCGTAGGGGTCACGGAAGGTCCCTGGGGCACTAGCCCCGTTCACGAGGGCTCCCCCTCATGACCTAGTCACCTCCCAAAGGCCCAGTACTGTGACCTTGAGGGTAAAGAGTTCAGCCTGTGATTTGAGGGGTCAGGGTACAAACATTCACACCACGGAACAGAGGGACCCTGTGTTTGCTGCGCTCCAAGTGCGTGCCGGGCCTCCCTCCTGGCCGCCTCGTCTCCGCGCAGGGGTGGTGGTACCCACCTGCAGCGCCTGTGGGGGTTAAGGAAGGGCCAGGGTGGGGTTCAGGCCTCCCTCCTGGCCGCCTCGTCTCCGCGCAGGGGTGGTGGTACCCACCTGCAGCGCCTGTGGGGGTTAAGGAAGGGCCAGGGTGGGGTTCAGGCCTCCCTCCTGGCCGCCTCGTCTCCGCGCAGGGGTGGTGGTACCCACCTGTAGCGCCTGTGGGGGTTAAGGAAGGGCCAGGGTGGGGGTCAGGCCTGTGGGGGTCCCCAGCAGGCACAGCCAGTGTGCCCAGGGCGCAGCCCCACCTCTGCAGAAGCTGTGCTAAGAGTTCACTGTGTCCGTCTTCATCTGCATTTGCTGGGCGAGGTCTTGGCCACACAGCCATGTGGTCACTGTTCCCCCAAGAACCTGGAAGGAGTTTCCAGGCCTCATGGTCCGCCAGTGAATGGTGGCTGGAGGGACAACCCTCCCGGCCAGCCCTCGGGGATCTGAAGGGAGACACGCTGACTCCTGGGACCCGGAGTGGGAGCACCCACCTTTTTGGCTCTGTGGCCAGGATTTGGGCAGCCACCTTGGCCCTCTCTGCCTCTCTGAGGCTCCTTCATCTTTTATCTCCGTTCTTTCTGTGGTTTTCCATCTTTCTTGGCCACTCGTGACCACTGGCCTGTTCCCAGGTTCAAACCACCCACAGAGGGAGCTCCAAGGCCCAATTCCAGGGAAGGGGATCTGCACGGGCAGCGGGTCAGGTGTCCCCAGGGCCCGGTCGGCTCTGGTGAGGGGTGTGTCACGCGGGCTCCACGAGGCCAAGGAGCATGGCTGTGGCCGGCAGGGCCCTGGTGGGCGAGCGGCCTTGGAGCTGAGGGTGGGTAGGCGGACTCCCAGCACGCGTTTGCTGACTGGGACACGTGATGGAGCAGGGGGGGAGCTCGGTCAGCAGGGCCAGCCCCCCGCAGAGACCCGCTGCCTGTCGGGCCTGGTGGCCCTGTCCGGGGGCAGTTGATGCCCCGGCCCCGCCCTCTCCTGCCCCACAGTCCTGCAGGAGCCCGAGTGGGGGTTCTAGTTGGAGCTCCCCAGCTCCTGGGGGCAGGGATATGGTTTTAGAGAGAAAGTGGTCATCTCATTTTCTGCAAAGATAAGCTTTCAGAGTAGGGGAGGCAGGGTTCTTTCTAGGATAAAGAGCTTTTATTTGGTGTATAACATTCAACAGAGAGGAGGGAGCTTAAAGAAATTCCTCCTGGCTTTCATCAGGCTAATTACCAGCATGTTCCAGACCACACCCCGCGTTCAAGGCTGGCTGGCTGGGGCCCTCTGCTCAGCAGCCAGTGGGAGGAGGGTGAAGGCAAGGCCGCCGGCCGAGGGGCGGGCGTGGAGGGTGTGCGTCGGCCGCTGCTCGTGGCCTTGGTTCAGGCCAGGCCACTTCCTAAGTGTCCTCTTTAAATCGTCCCGGAGCTGGGGCTCTGCAGCTCTCATCAGGGGCCCGTTGCCCCTGTCCCTGGGCTCTGCCGTCTGCACAGGGTTCCCTAGGCTGCTGGTGTCGGCCGAGACCTCCTAAGTGTCCTCTTTAAATCGTCCCGGAGCTGGGCCTCTGCAGCTCTCGTCAGGGGCGCGTTGCCCCTGTCCCTGGGCTCTGCCGTCTGCACAGGGTTCCCTAGGCTGCTGGTGTCGGCCGAGACCTCCTAAGTGTGCTCTTTAAATCGTCCCGGAGCTGGGCCTCTGCAGCTCTCGTCAGGGGCGCGTGCCCCTGTCCCTGGGCTCTGCCGTCTGCACAGGGTTCCCTAGGCTGCTGGTGTCGGCCGAGACTTCCTAAGTGTGCTCTTTAAATCGTCCCGGAGCTGGGCCTCTGCAGCTCTCGTCAGGGGCGCGTTGCCCCTGTCCCTGGGCTCTGCCGTCTGCACAGGGTTCCCTAGGCTGCTGGTGTCGGCCGAGACCTCCTAAGTGTCCTCTTTAAATCGTCCCGGAGCTGGGCCTCTGCAGCTCTCGTCAGGGGCGCGTTGCCCCTGTCCCTGGGCTCTGCCGTCTGCACAGGGTTCCCTTAGGCTGCTGGTGTCGGCCGAGACTTCTCCGCTGTGGGCGTTTCCAAGCGGTTCTGAAGTCCTTCCCAGTCGCCCGCCGTGTGCCACCCGGAGCCAGGGGGGAGCTCCTGCCCCTTGTCCTTGGAACTTCCAGCACGTGGGGCGTCCAAGGTGCCGTGCTGCGACCACTGCCCAGGTGTGGGCAGGGGGCTCTCAGCGGGCGGCTTCCCTGGCAGTGAGCTGACTCAGGCCTGTTCGCTGAGCGGCTGCCAAGTCCCCGCACCGGCTCTGGCGGGAAGAGCAGGGGCTGCAGGGCCAGGGTCCCGGGCCACAGCCAGGGGTGCTGAGCAGAGCCTTCCCGCAGGGCCAGGGGCCTGGGCCACAGCCAGGGGTGCTGAGCAGAGCCTTCCCGCAGGGCCAGGGGCCCGGGCCATAGCCAGGGGTGCCGAGCAGAGCCTTCCCGCAGGGCCAGGGGCCCGGGCCACAGCCAGGGGTGCCGAGCAGAGCCTTCCCGCAGGGCCAGGGGCCCGGGCCATAGCCAGGGGTGCCGAGCAGAGCCTTCCCGCAGGGCGGGAGGAGCCCGGGGCTGGCCCGGTGCCAGGACGCCCACGTGGGCAGGCTGGGCCTCGGCACAGGGAAGGCGCAGCGTGTGTGCTGTTTTGAGCTGTTCACCTGAAAACGCTGTGAAGATGCTCAGAAGCAGTGAGGCCAGTATAGGAACCCCAGGGACCCGCCAGCAGCTTCAGCCGGCAGCAGTGGATGGCAACCTAGCTTCATGGTGCCCAGCCCCGCCCCAGGTTACTTGCGAGCAGACACACCCACGTCTCATGTGTGCAGGGGTTTCAGTCCGTGTGTGCTGAGGGGCTGAGCACGGCCGTGTGCAGGCGAAGCAGGTCTCCCGCCCCGCCTGCAGCAGCCCACCCAGGCCCCACCCTCCACGGTGACCAGCCCTGGGGCAGGGGCAAGTCAGGTGCTGCCTCTAGTTCTGTCCCCGAGGCCCAGCAATAACCCCTGTGACCCTCCGCCCCCAGCTCCAGACTTAATTAACAGCTGCCAGCTCCCCAGTTTTTGTCTCCACTTCTGCCTTACGACCAACCAGAGAAAGCTCCCCTAACCACGACACGGGACGCCCGCTCAGCTTCCCGCCCCACAGTCCCCATCAGGACACCCCAGCCCCCCTTTTCCACTGAAACACTCTCCGCTTCTCGCGGCCTCTGAGTCTCGGCCACACCAGGTGACGCCAGAGCCTGCCGGGCTGAGCCGTCATCCCTTCCAGGTGGGTGGTCCCCGCTTGTTGCCACAGACACAGGCTCTTTCCATGAGACACACAGTGTCGCGTTAGCAAACCTGCCGTCTTTCTCCAGTATCGGGCCAGGGTCAAACTGGGCTCTTCCTTCAAAGCATGGTGTCCTGTTCTCTCCCTCCTCCCATCTCCTGCCGGGGAAACCGAGTCACCCGCTCTGGCAACCCTGAGGAGCTGCAGACTCTGAAGGGAGAGCTGCCTCAAAGGGTTTCTGATCAGTTCTTTATGGGCATTGATTGATTTTTCGAGAGGAAGGGAGAGAGAAACCTCCATCGGCTGCCTCCTGCACGCCCCTCCTGGGGATCGGCCGCAACCCGGGCCTGTGCCCTGACGGGATCGACTGTTGGTCGTGCACGGGACACACCCGGCCACTGAGCCTTAGCAGCCAGGGCTCGGGTCAGTCCCGCGTGAGCCCCAACCCCAGCCGAGCCCCCGGAGCCCTTCAGTGGGGAGGGTGGGAGTCAGGCCGGCCGGGGTCTCCACTGCTCCCCCACCCGGCTGCTCTGGGTGGAAGCTCAACTGTAGATCAAAGTGCCTACGAGTCCCCAGCAAGCGTCACTCAGAGGCGGCCCAGGAGCATCGGGGGCCTCGAGAGTGGGGCCTGCTGCCGGGGCCGCTGGGGCTTGTGGTCCTGCCGAGGCAGCCCAGGCGTGGAGAGGCTCAGCGAGGCGCCCGGCGCAGGGCCAGGGCTCGACCCCAGCCCCGGCTGCCCCTGAGCGGCAGCAGGGGAGGGCGCCCCGGTGAGCGCCAGGCAGCCCGTGCGACCCTCCTGCCCTTGACGAGAAGGCAGGCTGGCACCCCTGTCACCGAGCGGCACCTGGGCTGGGCCTTCGCTGGGCTCCATCCGTTTATCGCTGGTTCTCCCCAAAAAGCCAGGCTTTGGGGCTGGGTGGGCGAGCATGACAGGGCTCTGGCAGGGGAGCCTCGTTCCCGCAGACAGCTTGGCAGGCCCCTGAGAGCGGCCCCCCGGAAGCGCCGCTGCAGCGGTGACATTTCAAAGCTGGTATCGGGACAGCGCACAGCGGGCACCTCGCTAGCCTGCCCCTGCGCACGACTGCAGGGGGCACTGCGCCCCACCTGGACCTGCCCCTGTCAGCTCCTGTTTCCTGACTGGTGGCACACCTCCCCCCCGCCCCCCCGCATCCCCGCCCCAGGACCTGTCTGAGTGCTGTCTCCTGAGTGCGGGCTGTGGGAGGGAGATGGGGCTCCCGCAACTGGCCTCAGGCTGTAACCAGCTCGGCCTGGGGTCGCAGGGGACAGCAGGGGTCAGGGGAGTGGGAGGAGGAACGAGGAGGCGAGGGGCAGGGCTGCTCCCTGTCCACCTCGTCCCTTGCCAGCCTGGGAGTTCCTGGGATAGCTGGGGCGATAGCAGCACCGGCAGAACCCCTCCAGCAGCTTCTCCCATGCGGTTAGGGCTCCACTCGCGGGGGACTCAGCTCAGCGGAGCCCCTGGCCTGCGGTGCTGAGTCCTTCAGCGCTCGGTGCCCGGGCTGGGCCCCACTCCGTCCCTCCTTCCGCAGGCAGTGCCCCGCCGACTGCTGGTGAAGCTGATTCAGGAGCGCATGCAGGAAGAGGACTGCGTCAGCCAGGTGAGCCGCCAGGCGGAGCAGCTCGGGCTCCCACGGGGGCGGGGCGGGGGAGCGAGCCGGCCAGGGCCAGCAGAGACGGCACGAGACACACCAGAGCTCGTGGGGGCCAGTCTCTGGACATGGGTTCACCTGGGACGGAGCCCACATGACCAGGCGTCCATCAGGTTGCCTGTCGGAAGGTGCTGGCCCATCAAAGGGGGTCACGGGAGCTTTGGGTGACAGCACAGCTGTCAGAGGTGGGGGTGGGGGCAGGTAGGGCTGAGGGAGCTGTCAGACCAGCAGTGCGGGGAGTGGAGGGACAGAGGGAGGACGGGGCACCCCAAACTCTCCTGCTGCCCTCTGACCCCTGCAGCCCCCCCTTTGGGGGTGGAATCAGCTGCCACTGGCCAGTGATTCAATCAATCATGCTTTTGTGATGAGACCCCCATAAAACCCCTGCAGGACTGGGCTGAGAGAGGGTTGGCCACCTGTGGAGGTCCACGCCCCCCACACCCCTGCCCTGTGTATCACTACCCCTGGCTGTTTCTGAGATACATCATTTCACAGTAAACCGTGACCCAGCAAGTGGAACATTTCTCTGAGTCTGAGCCGCTCCAGCAAGTTAACGGAGCCCAGGACGGGCACAGGCGACCCTGTGGGTGATGACGGGTACGGGCGACCCTGTGGGTGATGACGGGCACGGGCGACCCTGGGGTGATGACGGGCACAGGCGACACAGGCGACCCTGCAGGTGATGACAGGCATGGGCGACACAGGCGACCCTGTGGGTGATGACGGGCACGGGCGACCCTGCGGGTGATGACGGGCACGGGCGACACAGGCGACCCTGCGGGTGATGACGGGCACGGGCAACCCTGCGGGTGATGACGGGCACGGGCGACCCTGCGGGTGATGACGGGCACGGGCGACCCTGCGGGTGGTGACGGGCACGGGCGACCCTGTGGGTGATGACGGGCACGGGCAACACAGGCGACCCTGCGGGTGATGACGGGCACGGGCGACACAGGCGACCCTGCAGGTGATGACAGGCATGGGCGACACAGGCGACCCTGCGGGTGATGACGGGCACGGGCAACCCTGCGGGTGATGACGGGCACGGGCGACCCTGCGGGTGATGACGGGCACGGGCGACCCTGCGGGTGGTGACGGGCACGGGCGACCCTGCGGGTGATGATGGGCACGGGCAACACAGGCGACCCTGCGGGTGATGACGGGCACGGGCGACACAGGCGACCCTGCGGGTGATGACAGGCATGGGCGACACAGGCGACCCTGCGGGTGATGACAGGCATGGGCGACACAGGCGACCCTGCGGGTGATGACGGGCACAGGCAACCCTGCGGGTGATGACGGGCACGGGCGACCCTGCGGGTGATGACGGGCACGGGCGACCCTGCAGGTGGTGACGGGCACGGGTGACCCTGTGGGTGATGACGGGCATGGGCGACACAGGCGACCCTGCGGGTGATGACGGGCACGGGCGACCCTGCGGGTGATGACGGGCACGGGCGACCCTGCAGGTGGTGACGGGCACGGGCGACCCTGTGGGTGATGACAGGCATGGGCGACACAGGCGACCCTGCGGGTGATGACGGGCACGGGCGACCCTGCGGGTGATGACGGGCACGGGCGACCCTGCGGGTGGTGACGGGCACGGGCGACCCTGCGGGTGGTGACGGGCACGGGCGACCCTGCGGGTGATGACGGGCACGGGCGACCCTGCGGGTGATGACGGGCACGGGCGACCCTCTGGGTTTGCGACTGGTGCGTCTGAAGTGGGACTGAGCCCTCCACCTGAGGAATCTGACACTCTGGGTCGATAGTGGCAGACTTGAGTCAAATTGTAGGGCAGACAGCAGCTGGTGTCCTCGAGTTGCTTGCTGGCGGTGTGGGAGCCAGTCTCTCCACACATTGGAATTGGTGACCAGAACCCACAAAGCGGGGTGGAGAGGGTCGGGGGGACATGGAGAGGAAAAGGGGACAGCAGGTACAGTGAGCATCTGCTGGGCACCTCTGGGGGTGAGGGCTTGACACATATGGCCCTCATGGGACCCTCTGGTTGGCACCATGATGCCCCCATTTTACAGATGAGGAAACTGAGGTCTGGCTGTGTGATTTTGACAAACTGAGGCTGCCCAGGTCCTTGCCCACAGCTACGGCCAACATCAAAATGTCAAGATTTCTTATTAATATTGTCAATTAATTATAAGCAATTATTATTATACTGTACTCTCTGACTATATTGCCCATCATAAGTAATGCTATTGGTTGAGTTTATACCATTTATATGAATATTATAATGATGTTCATTATCATCATTATTGCTGTTTTGGTGATGGCACCACCAAACTGGTGATGATGATCGGGACACCTGGTCTGGGATTGTGTGCACAGACAGGTGTGCTGTGCGAGAGGCTGTGACATCCACTGTGGCTGGCGACAACGGCTGGGCTCTAGGCTGTGTGTGCCCACTCAGGTGCCCGGTCTCACTCAGTCTTGCCACGGCCCAGGGTGGGCGGGACTGTGCGGCCTGGTGCCACGGCCCAGGGCGGGCAGGATTGTGTGTCCTGTTGCCACAACCTAGGGCGGGCGGGACTGTGCGTCCTGTTGCCACGGTCCAGGGCGGGCGGGACTGTGCGTCCTGTTGCCACGGCCCAGGGCGGGCGGGACTGTGCGTCCTGGTGCCACGGCCCAGGGCGGGCGGGACTGTGCGTCCTGGTGCCACGGTCCAGGGCGGGCGGGATTGTGCGTCCTGGTGCCACGGTCCAGGGCGGGCGGGATTGTGCGTCCTGGTGCCACGGTCCAGGGCGGGCGGGACTGTGCGTCCTGGTGCCACGGCCCAGGGTGGGCGGGACTGTGCGTCCTGGTGCCACGGCCCAGGGCGGGCGGGACTGTGCGTCCTGTTGCCACGGTCCAGGGCGGGCGGGACTGTGCGTCCTGTTGCCACGGCCCAGGGCGGGCGGGACTGTGCGTCCTGTTGCCACGGCCCAGGGTGGGCGGGATTGTGCGTCCTGTTGCCACGGCCCAGGGTGGGCGGGACTGTGCGTCCTGGTGCCACGGCCCAGGGTGGGCGGGACTGTGCGTCCTGTTGCCACGGTCCAGGGCGGGCGGGACTGTGCGTCCTGTTACCACGGCCTAGGGGGGGCGGGACTGTGTCCTGTTACCACGGTCCAGGGCGGGCGGGACTGTGCGTCTGAGACGTGCAGAGTCTGCTCCAAGTGCCTCAGTCGGCCCCGGACCGAGATGCACACATGGGAGTCCCACTTGGGCCCCTATCCTTGCCCTGCTCACGTGTCCCCACCGGCGGGGGCTTCCCTGCCTGCCGCCTCACAGTTGTGATCCTGTTGTGTCCAGGCCATGGCTCCCTGCAGAGTAAAGACAGGCTCCTCTTGTCTGTTTTCAAATTTCTCCTGAGCTTCAAGGGGCATCCGCACCCTTTCATCTCTCCGGGTGGAGCCCGGGCTTCTGGCGCCGAGGTGCGGCTTCTCCCGTGCTGCGGTTGTCCGAAACCCGACCCTCCTCCAAAATGAACAGGCTTTCCTGCTTCTAGGGAGAAAAAGGACATCATGCATATTCATTGATATGGTAATTATTGTTATTTAGCTGCACAGGGACTGGAATTGGTAATTGAGAGCACAAAAAGATGCAGGGTTAGTGCCCAGGGAAAAGGAATGCATTCCCGACCCATCGGGGTTCTGTAGCTACGGCTGGTCCCCCCCTTTCTCTTTCGGTATAATGCAATCTCTTTGAAGAATTTCTTTGAAGTGACCGTCAAATGCATTAGAGGACGAGAAATCAGCACTGCGTCGGCCCTGTCAAAGGGAGGAGGGTGCTGCCTGTTGGGGACCGGCCTCTCTCGGGACAGCGCTGTTCATGGACCATGAGTCCGAGTGCCCGGTCCTCGGAGCTCATCGGGAAGAAGAAAGGCAGTAGCGCAGGGGATTTGGAAGAGATGCTCAACCCCACAGGCTTCTGCGTCTTACCTTCCTGTCTGCGCGCCTCTTGTCTGACTTGCTAAGAATCCCTTCCCTTTCCTGGGCACCTGGCCCACCTCCTTGCTTCCCCGGCCCGTCCCCCTGTCACTGCCGGGGTGTCACTGAGAACGAGCAGACTGACTCCTGGACGGCGGTGCCTTCACATGGCTCGAAATTCAACAAGTGCCCAAGTCCCCGTACTCCTGTCCCCCAGCCTCGCGGCCCCTTCCCACAGGTGACTGATGGTAAAATCCTCCTGAAAAAACATCCTTCTGAAGACGGCTTTATGCACAGAGAAGCATTTGTCTTTTAAAGTGAAAGTCACTGTGTCGCTCTGCTGCTGAGACCCTCCCTGCCTCCCGTCCCCCTTGGCTGCCCCGTGATGCCCTGAGGCCCGTCCCGTCCCGTCCCCCTTGGCTGCCCCGTGATGCCCTGAGGCCCGGCCCGTCCCCCTTGGCTGCCCCGTGATGCCCTGAGGCCCGGCCCGCGCGGCCTCCTCTCCGCTCCTCTGCCCTCCCGGCCTCCCGTCCCCCTTGGCTGCCCCGTGATGCCCTGAGGCCCGTCCCGTCCCGTCCCCCTTGGCTGCCCCGTGATGCCCTGAGGCCCGGCCCGGCCCCCTTGGCTGCCCCGTGATGCCCTGAGGCCCGGCCCGCGCAGCCTTCGCTCCTCGGCCCTCCCTGCCTCCCGGGCCTCCTCCCGCACCTGCCCCACCCCGGGCCTTGGCACCCTGGCGGTCAGACCCCAAGGGGTTCCCCTGTTCCGGGGCCCACGCCTTGTGGAACCCCGCCCTTGAGTGGGGCCAGGGCCAGGGCCGAGGCAATGAGGTGTCACTGCCGAGAAGCGCAGGGTGTAAGACTCGGCCTCCGGCCCGATGGAGGGAGCTGCCGTGTTGGGAAGGCCATGGGCAGCCCATTGGACCTGAGGGCAGCCTCCAGCCCGTGAGAAAGCAGAGCCTTCAGCCGCTCACCCGTGGCTGTGACGCTGCCCTTCTTCAGTGTCCGGGGGAGCGCACAGCCCAGCTGACCA